TTTATTATTTATATTCCTTAATTTCTAATTCTAGGGCTTATATATAGAGTGCGGCTTAATAGTTTTTAGTAAGGCTTTCCTAGGCAGTATTAATATATTTATATATTTAGCGGTAGTACTTATACTATTTATATACGTGGTTAGTAATATAGGCGGCGAACGCGGATTTGCTATCCGGCAGAACTAAGGGGAAAAAATAGAATATTAGGTCGGCGGTGCAGGTAGATAGCTAGGTGGGTAAGAAGCTATATAATATTACGGTCTCGGGCGGCAGGATTGCCTTAGCTAGCTCGGGCAGGTAGATAGAAGTAATAACTAAATTTACTACGTGTTTTATAATATATAGCAGGCAGGCGGGTTAAATAATAAGACGTAGCTTAAGGAGCTATAAAAAGGCAGGGCGGCGGTCGGTAGGTATACTCCTGCTAAGGCTTATATAGGCCCTTATAATAAGGCCTTTTACCGGGTTCTAATATTATATATTACGCTATATAGTAAGCTTTACTATTTAAGCTATAATAATTATATTATACTTACCTGCCGTACTAGCGTACTATATAGCTAGTAATTAACTACTACTTTAGGCCCTAATAATAGCCTTTAGTATATTTAAAAAGTTAATAACTTATATAACTATATTAGTATAGCACCTCTAGGTTATATAGGCTTTTTAAGGTTAAAGTACTTAGTAGAAAATCTGCCTTAATTTATATATATTACTTACGCAATATTAATAAAAAATATTTAGGTAATTATAGTAATATATTTTAGAGGTTAAATTAAGGCCTAGTAGGCTTACTATATAAAGGCAAAGCTATATAGTAATAACTAGTAAACTATAAAGAATAAGTATACTAAGATTTCTACCTTTTTTAAGCGCCTTAAAGAGGCTAATTCTAGGATAACTATTAACCTCTAGCTTATATAAAATAGGTTCTATTATATATTTATATACCCTAAGAAAAGCAGGTAGTTCCTTTAGTATAGGCTGGCCTAAATAGGCCTTAATAGCACCTATATATATATAATAGGTATAAAGGCGTCCTTTTTATTACCCTTAGCCGAGATTAACTCGTATAAGCTCTTAAGACGAGGAGCAATACAGGAAGCGTACGAGGAAAGGTGGAGGGACGAATGGGAGGCCTACAGGAAGAAACGAAGGGGCCCCCCTACGCCGGCCCTCAACACGAAATGGAACAAGAATCAGGCAACCAAACACCACAAGCTCACAAAAGCAGAGAGCTCAATTATCACGCTCCTACGAACGGAACACATAGGGCTTAACGTATACCTGCACCGCATGAGGGTTCCCAATCACCCTTCGCCCGCGTGCCCCTGCGGGCATATACTACAGTCTCCAAAGCACGTAGTAATGCACTGTGAACGACACCGCAACGGCAGAGGCGATATGTTCTTTAAGGCCAGAACAAGAACGTATATGCAGCTGTACAAAGACCACAAGGGAAATAAGGCCGTTTCGCAATGGTTCCTGCACCAGGCAGACCTCCTACCCTACCTCTCTATAGCTAGAGAGATGGCAACGGAAAAGCTGGCTATACAGCCAGCCGACTCGTATAGCCACGCCCCAAGAACAGAACTACATGCACGCACGCACATTGCATAACCACAGGCACGCCCGCAACAGGGCAACCCCCCCAATTTCCTATTGTCCTTCAATTCAATACCTTGGCTTTTGAGAAAAAGGGCACGCGCGTACGGCAAGGGCACGCGCGCCCTAACGCGGACCCCGGACCTTACTAACCTTCTGGACACCGTACAACCCTGGAACCTAGGGCCTACGGACACCGGATCGATCCTGGAGAATGCATCAAGATGGCTTACTCCGTGGCGATGCTCACAGAGCTGCCACGCGTCCCCCACAGCCGCGCAGAAACAAAAGGAACGCAAGGCGTTATACACTGTAGAAAACAAGGTTTTCACCCGACCGCTATAGAGCGAACGGTTTCCCCTTGTAAATAAAACCTAGATAGCACTGCCGCATGGACCCTAACGGAGCTAAATCGGCCTAATAGAACCTAATAATAATAATAATAGCCGAGATTAAAATAATAATATAGTAGGGTAAGGTCGTATATTCTACTCCTGGCCGTAAGGCCTCTGGAGTAAAGCTATATAGTAGATAATAATATTACGTGCATAGTAGATAATAGATATATAATAGCGAGCGGAGCTCGCATCGAATAAATATATACAGGTCCTAGGTATATAACCCAGGTTATATATCTATTATAGACAGCCCTATCGGCGCGCTCTCCGGATTTAGGAGTAGCACTAGTCTACCTTACTATAATAAAATCTACCTGTTTACCTAGGCAATTATAGAGAGTAAAAGTAATAAATTATAGTTATAGTTCTTTAGAAGGCTGCTAAAGGGCTTACTACTACTAAGTAAGGCAGTATTTAGGGTAATAATCTGCTTATAAGTATAATTTTTGCTATTTATTATAATTTTTTAGCTAAACATCTATACGTTTAGCTACGCGTGAAAACACGTAATATTCTGTTAATTTTAGTAAGAAATTACTAAAATATTACTATTTCCCTAATAATAAATAATATATAAATATTATTTAAAAATTAATAATAGCTATATAGCCCCCTTTACAACAGCCTCTATATTTTTTAGTTTCCTTCTATATACTACTTAACGCTAGGTGTCCGTTTCTATACTAAATTTAGCTATTCCTATAGACTAAGCTATTATCTACCTCTAATTCTTTAAAAATCCTTATACTTATACTGTTTTTTCTGCAGTAATTGCGATAAAGGCCTCTAAAATACTATTAACTACTACCTGCCCTTTAAGGATAGTATATACTGCGCCTAGTATTATTTAAAAAATATTAAAAAGGCCTATAGAGTCCGCGCCTTTTACCTATTCTTTATACTTATCCGCGTAGTTAATAATATTAAGGTTAATAAGCTTTTAGATAAAATAGCTTTATTTAACAGTATATATAGTATAAAGGAGTACCTACACGCTAAGGACTTAAGGAAATAGCTGGCGCGTAATACTATAGCGCACTGCTATAGTTAAATTATAAGTGGCGTATATAAGTCCTTTAATAGGCTCCTCTATAATAAGAAAAAGCAGTCCGCCCTTTCTATACTTAATTATCTATAGTATTAGTTAATTAAGTACTGTGCTAAGCACTATAATAAGGCTATAAAGCTGCGCGCAGCTATAAAGTAGCTATAGAATTAAAATTATATTTAGCAGCTTATAGAAAGGGTATATTGTATTACCGCCGGTTTATATTATCTACTAAGTATAGCTATAGGGTAAAGAATTGCTGCGTAAGAATACCCGTAAGGCTAACGGCTACTATATTTATATAAACACCCTTACTAATATAGAATATACTACCTTTACTGCTACTATTACGCAGTACTAGACACTAAAAGTCTATATTATAAGGCTTATTAGGCGCATCTGTATATGCACAGAATTCTAGAATTACAACTTTTTTTACCGCTATACAATTGCCGTTATTATAAGGCTCCGGCAGAGCGTTGTCTACTACTGCAGTGTCACGGTGACGATGTATCGGGCATTTGAACGCGAGATAGACAAGTATCAGATTCAAAGAAGGATAACTACGTGCTATTACCGTGGTTGGTTACAAGACGTTAAGATACCGAGTTGAATTAGGGACGGGAGCCAGGCTATATACAAGACGAGAAAAGGGGCTCGCACATAGCGCGTAGCCCTAACAGAATCGGGAATCAGGTGGCAGGCGCGTGGCGCACGCGTGCGCACGTATGCGGGAACAAGGTGTCAGGGGATTGATGCTTAGAGGGAGGCCATGATCAATACCGTGACATGCAGCACCTATCTACTTAATTGCCTTAAGCTTAGCTATGCGCTTCTGTATAGTAATAGCGCTGTAGGCAGTAGCTATATACAGCTAGTAAGGATAACTAATATCCTTACCTCCAACACCTGCTTAGCGCCTATAAAAAAGGTTATAAAGGGCGCTGCGCAGAAGAAATAGAAGTAGACAGGCAATTGCCTATCTAATGCTGGAACAGGCTAGAAATGCGCAGTCTGCGGCCTTACGGGTTACAACAAATTAAACAAAAGAGTGTGTACGGGCTACCCGCGTTTATAAGCAAAGAAATGGTCAAAAATGGACAATTTTTAGTAGAGAAATGGTGTTTTTATTTGTTTCTACGTGTCTTGCAATATTTAGGTGCCTCCAGGCAGGGAGAATAGGCCTTAGTTGCTTTCCCTAGGCCTGTTTTCCCTGCCTGGGACATACGGGCCTTCTTTTGTTGGTTTCCTTGCGTTTCCTTACGTTCCGGGTTGAGCTCCGGCGGGCACGTGATGAGGAAATCGAGTTTCCTCACCACCAGGCCCGTGCAGCCTGTATATATTTGTGCAATGTTGGAAAACGCCACGGAGACGTCGATGGGCCTGCGCGATGCCGATTGAGGCCTGGTAACTAGCTATCAGGCCTTAATTGGTATAGAGTAGGCCCGCTGGCGTCTCCGTGGCGTTTTTCAGGCATTGTAGATTGTACAGGGGTGATTTGCAGGCATCATAGACTATTGCCCTAAGGCGTCTGGGGCTGAGGGGGTCTGTGCGGTATGGGCTGGTGCGGGAGGGTGGTTTGGGGTTAGGAGGGTTTAGGGTTCCGGGGGATTGGGAAAAACGGGGGGAGGCAGAAAGAGGTGTTTTGAGGATTGGGGTGGGATTGAGATACGGAAGTGATTCTGATCTTGAACAGATTACATATTTTTCGGTAAGATGAAGGTTCAATGCCTTGTGCTTCAGCGTATGAACAAGATATTACCGATGTTCTGGTGCGTGTATAGCTCTCAGCGAGCATTTGAAGTGGCTCGATGAGTTTGCTGGTTGCTCAAAAGGATAGGCTCCAAACTTCCGAGAATGCATTAGCACACTCCATGCAAAAGCAAAGAAAGTCTACACATATTCACATTACGGCAATGTACAGCAAGACAGCATCAAACAAGAAGGGTACTCCATATTAAGATATCCGTAAACGCCTGTATAGACTCAATGCTCATCCCTTCCCACATATATTTGTCGTCTCTATCCATGAAATGCTTTCCGGACATCCGTTTTATACCTGACATGCAGTGCCCCATATACCATTCGCTGTATGCCAAGTAGAATATGAAATTCGTAGGCCATCCCATCGCCAATTAAAATGGTGATCCAGTCACTCTTCAAGCACGCTGGTGCTGTGCTCTCCAGCTTTCCCTGAACTGCTCGCCCTCAGACAGCGCAATGTTTGACCCCAATTGGACATCCGATCCGTTGTCAGAGTGCATTGGCTTCATTCCCTTGGTAACCAAACGATCTCCCTTTCCAGCGGGGACCCAGAGCTGACGGAAAACGCGTCCGGGATGGAACCAGGTGATCAGGGCCACGGCAGTAATGATCATGGGGCCTTCAAAGATCATGAACGAGACCTGGCTGTTGGCGATAGCGCTGTTGAAACCGCCTGCAAGCTCGGCAACACGATAAATGCATCGAATGAAGATCAAGATAGTGGCAACGATGAGACCTAGAACGAGGCTGTTAGCTAGTGTGACAGAAGTTGCATCGCGGGATTGACCTACTCCACTGGAAGCCAGCAAAGATGGCGGAGTTGCGGAGAGTGTTGTACAGAGCGGGCTGGCTGCGTCCAAGCGACCCCATGGCCTTCGCCTTCCGTACTCGAATGGTAAAGTCGAGCCAGAGAGCCATGAACAGGACCATAGAGATGACCTGGGAAACGAGACCCGCAATCATGACGTTGGTCCCTTGCTGAGAGCCGGCATGGTCTTTAGCGGTCGAGGCGAGAGCACCTCCAACTGCTTGCAAGACCAATGCGAATAGATCGCAGCCAATGAAGATTTTGGCGTATGTTCGGGGCTGGAGACGGGAGTGCTCTGGGCCGACGACGGTAATGATTCGTCCAAGGCAGAGATAGATGCATCCGCTAAAGAAAGCTGGGCCGATGGTGAGGCAGATGAGATAGCTATGGCAAAATTAGAATTGCAATTGGACTCGTGGTGATGCCTTCCAAATGCGTCAAGACTTACACCAAGAAGTTATTCATGATGAAGGGATTGTTGTGAAGCATGATGCGGCCAATATATCCGATGATCTCTAGCAGAAGACCCATAATCATTGATCCAAGGAATGTCCATGTTTTGTGCTTGATGCCAAAGAACATCTGAATCCCCAACAGCACGAAGAAGCAGGCCAAGTAGACGACGTTGCCTCCAATGTTCGGTAGATAGGATATGGTTGCCCAGGAGATTGGGCATTCTCCCAGCTTGCAGTACTTCCGCTGCATAGCAATGAGGGTACTATTGGTGGTGGTGAGGTTGAGGTGGTTCGGGTCGACGCCATTTCTGTCGAGCATGATGAAGGTTGGTGCCGAAGAGGCAAATTGAAGGAGAAGAAAGAAATGGAGAAGTAGATGCTGCTTCGAATGCTTCGGATCCCAAGATGTGATGGAAGAGAAACGAGAGTTATTGTGAGTGAATGGAAATATAAAACACAAAGACGCAATAAGCACAACTTGATATACCTAAGACAACAAGCGGCGGGGTGGCCCTTTTAAACATAATGGCGACGCTGGGATGGAACAGGCGTGCCGTACGGGGCTGTAGGTTCCAAAGTGAGAGCGGCGCAGCATGCAACCGCCAACCAAGGCGCCGAGAAAACAGAAGTGGAGTTTCAGGAACACTGTGCCACCACGCTTACAACTTTTGATGCATCAAGGTGGTGGATTGTGAAGCACACAATCTATCCATTTGAACGCCCCGTTGAAGGACTCCAGGCAATTCTTAATGAAGATCCACTTTACCTCCTCCCCTCGTTTCATTGTTCTGTGGGCATAGTTGGCCCTCGGATGCCGTACGGTGTTGAGACACAAACAGGGTATGTGAAATCGAGTACTTCCGCTGCCAAGTGCCTCAGATGCAGATCATTAGACTATTCCGGATGTGATTGACTCGCGTAATTTTGCGGCTGAAATCAAACCTGTAATTAACATTGCTTACGAAGTTCGGGCGAAACTTAGATACCGCCTCTTCTCTCACAGCCTCCCCGTCCCTCGTCAGCACTAGGTACCACCCACCACCTAGCTTTGTACCTATCACCACCACCACCAACAAGGAAATGCCAGGTTACATCTGACACGTCCAAGTCAAGCTTTCCCCGCGCTTTCAATGTCTGGCCGGGCCCAATGCTTGACCAGAGACGCTCGAGTTTCCTTCCCGCTGGCTTCAAGAACCACCGCGTCGCACGTGCCATTCCACCTCAAATCAATGGCACTGCATCGGGATGCAAGAAGCACAGAGTTCTTCTTTACTTCTACCCTCCGCTGCAGAGTACGACACTGGAAGAGTGAGGGTCTGAAGTTGCTCGCTGCTGCAAGGATGGTAATACTATTTCAGCAGCCCTCAGCCTCTCACGCTTCTCTGGTTGGCTCATGTAAGTGATTTTCAGCCTCGCAAACAGCGCATTTTCTTAGCGCAATGATCCTTTTATAGACTCTCTCTATCGCCGCAACTCACCTAAGCCTCGGTGTGCCAAAGTGCACCAGCGCGGAAGAGCAGCGCTAACCACAGCCACCACCCGAGAACTCCACGCCAACGGCCCTACCGAATGGCGCAGGGCTTTATTTCCGAAGCATGCTACTGGTGGATGCTTCTGTACAACCAAGTCTTAATGTCTCACGTAGCCTTTCTCGAATTCTAATCCTCTTGCTCGCATCACGAATTCCATTCTGTTCACAGTTCCCGTCTCTGCAAACTCATCCTCTTTGCTCCAATTGCTCCATCAATCTAGATACCCGGCTTTGTACCTTTTCGTCATAATACGCCTGTCGCCATTCAACAAATCCAGCTCTTCAAAGTGATTCGCATCAACTTCGAGTTTTTTCGCTGCTAACCACTGTCGCCTACCTCCTCGAAGCGGCATCAACGACGAACCGAGCAAGGTATAGTATTTATAAAAGAAACCTTTGTTTGGAATATTTGACACTTCACCTCCACAGCTAGCAATATTATTATCAGCTCTTCGCAGCTCGCCATCACCGAACTCTCCATAATGGGTAGCGTCTCCGACTCCACTGCCACCGTTTGGCTCTGGAACCAGCAGGTCCCTACGCGGATCGAAGAATGCGCCCACGAGCTGATTCAGCGTCAAATTCAACTGCGACCTTTGGCAGTTGCTGTGGATGCGCACGACGGATCGCTCACCTACGCTGAGCTTGACGAAGCTAGCAATCGCTTAGCGCATTACTTGGTCAAACTTGGAATTAAACCTGAAGATGTAGTGCCACTTTGCTTTGAAAAGTCTGTATGGGCAATTGTTGGTATCCTCGCGGTGTTGAAAGCTGGCGCGGCCATGGTTTTCTTGGACCCATCCCACCCTGAGAGCCGGAGAGAATACATCTTTACCGAAGTGGAAGCCAAAGTCATAGTTTGCTCGACTCAACAATCACATCTCTTCGAATCGAATTGCCCCCCGACTTTTACACTGAGCAAGGACACCCTACAGACTCTTCCATTCCAGAAGTCCCCCCCGAAAACCACGGTCAGCCCTGCGAACTTACTCTACATTATTTTCACTTCGGGTAGCACCGGAACTCCGAAAGGCTGCCTGATCGAGCATTCTTCCTTTTGTAGTGGCTCGATACGCCATGCGGAAAGAGCGCGCATCCTCCCATCGAGCCGCGTTATGCAGCTGTACGTTTTGCGCGCTTAATCGTTCATCAACCCATGCTAACTCTCTGATAGCGCCTCGTACACTTTCGATGTCAGCATGCTTGAAATTCTCACATCTCTAATTAGCGGTGCCACCATCTGCACCCCCAACATGGCCATGATGGCTAACGGCCCAGCCTACATCATAAACGAGTACAAGATTACTTGGACATTTATGACCCCTTCTTTAGTAAAGATGATGGCGCCTAGTATGGTCCCAAGCCTAGAAACCCTTGCATTAGGAGGAGAGCCTCTGTCGAAGATTGATGTCGAGACTTGGGCCGACCATGTCCAACTAGTCAACGGATACGGGCCCAGCGAGTGCTCGGTGGCAGCATCTGGGAACACCGAAATGACAGCATCCACAGACCCTGCGAACATCGGGTATGCGGTCGGAGGCGTTTGCTGGATTGTTGACGCAGATGACCACGATGTTTTGCTCCCACCGAACACCGTCGGTGAACTCCTGATCGAGGGTCCAATCCTAGCCCGTGGATATCTTAAGAACCAGGAGAAAACTGATGAAGTATTCGTTGAGTCTCCAGCCTGGGGTCCGTTGACGAAATCTGGACACAGAAGGAGGTTATACAAGACAGGTGATCTTGCTAAATTCCTGGATGACGGGTCTATCTACTTCATCGGCCGCAAAGACACGCAAGTGAAATTGAGGGGCCTCCGCATCGAATTAGGAGAAATCGAGCATCATATCGGAACACACCCCCAAGCCCGGCATCATATGGTCATACTTCCGAAATCCGGATTGTTCCATAACCGCCTTGTCGCATTGGTCTCCCTAGTGGATTATCTGGTCGAAAGCTCGGAGACCGTCGAAGCAGAAGTCCACACGGTCCAGGAGATGCACGAAGACCCTATTCAGCAGCACCTTCAGTCTATTCAAGAAAATCTGAAGGCCAACGTTCCTGAATACATGGTCCCGGAGACATGGATCGTACTAGAGAGGTTTCCAATGTTGATCTCCGGAAAGCTGAATCGTTCCCTTGTCAGCAAATGGGTCACTGATGCAGATAACGACTTATATCGGGAGGTCGTTGGTATTGAACTCGAAGACGTACCCATCACCGAAGAGTCGGACAGCATCGAAGAGCAACTCCGTGCCATCTACTCCACTGTTCTCAACCTTCCTATCGAAAACATCAGCCACCAGAAGTCCTTCCTCAGTCTGGGTGGTGACAGTATCACCGCAATGCAAGTCATGTCGCGATGCAGAACTGCAGGACTTGCTGTCAGCGTAAAGGACATCTTGAGAAGCAAGTCCATCACCGAACTGTCGTACTGCGTTAAGTCAGCTGGGGAGAACGCGTATTCAACAGAAGAAAAGCTCGACGTCGCTTTTGATTTGTCTCCAGTGCAACGAATGTATTTCGATATTGCACCTACCGAGATTGATGATGCACGACAGACCCGATTCAACCAAAGCTTTTATCTCAAGGTGGAGCGGCCAATATCCGAATTTGATCTTGCTAAGGCACTCGACTTCATTGTCGCTCAGCATTCTATGCTTCGCGCCCGATTCGTGCGAGATGAGAGTGGGAAATGGATGCAGACCATCCTTTCTCAGGTCGCCGGATCGTTTAGCTTTACGGTGCATAGACTAGAGTCGGCAAAGGACAATTCTTCTATCATGGCTACCACCCAAACGGAATTGAACACTCAGTCGGGACCAGTTTTCGCGGTTAATCTCTTCAACACATCGGCAGAAGGGCAATATCTCTTCCTCGTTGCCCACCACGTTATGATCGATTTGGTGTCATGGCGGGTCATACTCCGAGATTTGGAAGAGATCCTCACCACGGGCACTCTGAATGCAGAAAAACCCTTGCCCTTTCAAAATTGGCTTGCACTTCAATCAGAGCACGAATCCCAGGTGGGCGATATTTCTGATGTGCTACCTTTTGATATCCCTTCTCCTGATTTCGATTATTGGGGAATGTCGCATAAATCAAACCGTATATCCGACACCCAGGAGCAGACCTTTACTCTCGATTCTGCAACTACCAAAGAGCTCCTCGAGGGCGCTTGCCACTCCGCTTTCAACACCGAACCTATTGATCTCCTCTTGGCTTCACTGATCTACGCCTTCAAGAATACGTTTACAGATCGAGCCGTTCCTGCAATATTCAGAGAAGGTCACGGCAGGGAACCCTTCGACGAAAACATCGACATATCTGGAACGGTAGGTTGGTTCACAACTATGTATCCTCTCTACGTCGATATGGTCGACAGTTTTGGAATCCTTGACGTGGTGAAGCGTGCCAAAGATGTCCGACACAGCGTACCGGGAAATGGACGCCCTTATTTTGCATCGCGCTACCTCAACGAAGCCGGTATCGCGAAATTCAAAGACCACGACCACGTCGAACTATCATTCGATTATCTAGGCCTTTACCATCAACTAGAGCGATCTGACGCGCTTTTGACTCAAGTTCCCGGTTACCAGGCAATCTTTCAAGATGTTGGGAAGGAAACCCCCCGTTTCGCACTTGTCGAAATCACGGCTGAGGTCATTCAAGGGCAGATGCAACTGTTGTTTGTATTCAACAAGAATATGAAGAACCAGGGCTTGCTAGAAGCTTGGGTGCAGGCTACCAAGGCATATCTCGTGGACTCTCTGTCCCAATTGCAGAACCGCCAACACGAACTTACACTGGCGGACTTTCCCCTATTGGGGCTTTCATACAACGACCTGGACAACCTAGTTCATTCGAAACTGCCAGAAATCGGCATCTCGGATCTTGCACGAGTTGAAAGCATCTATCCAAGCTCTCCGATGCAACACGGCCTACTGATTTCTCAGGTCAGGTCCGAGGCGCAAGGCTGCTACGAATACAACCACACCCTCAAGGTGGAGACCAGGAATCCTTCCGATAAACTGGATGTTGAAAAGCTAAAGTTGGCATGGGCAAAAGTGGTCCAACGCCATAGCTCTCTACGGACCGTTTTCGTGGAGAGTGCCAGCCGAGCAGGCCTTTATGACCAGGTCGCGCTTAAGAAAATCAGCCCAGAGATCCCCGTCCACGAATGCCAGCAAGATGAGGTTGAGGCAATCTTCGAATCACAACAGCAACTCGTATTTCAGATTGGACAATCACTCCATCGATTTACCATCTGTCATATCTCGACTAATACTGCCATTTGCAAACTAGAGATAAATCATGCAATTATCGACGGATCCTCGATTGCAAATCTCATGGGGGATTTTATCCTTGCGTACGACGGAATAATTAGCAATCGAAACGGCTTCGCCTTCGAAGACTATATCACGCATGTTCGAAGCCGCCCCATGAGCTTGGCCATTGACTTCTGGAGCGAGTACCTTTCAGAGGTCACCCCTTGCTTCTTCCCCCTACTTGCTGGACTGGAGGACGCCAGCGATCCACAAAAAAAGCTAGAGACTATCAACATTGACGTTGGAATGACAGCTGGGGACTTGACCGAGTACTGTGGGAGCAAAAATGTTACACTGGTAAATGTTTTCCAGCTCGCATGGGGTCTGCTCCTACGAAAGTACATTGGCTCAGATGATGTTTGCTTTGGATACCTTTCGTCTGGGCGAGACGCACCCTTAGATGGCATTGAAGAAGGAGTGGGTGCTTTTATCACCATGCTAGTTTCTCGCATGGAACTTAACGATTCTGTGTCTCTGTCGGCCGCTCTTGACAAAGTCGCCGACGATTTGACCCGCGCTCTGCCGAATCAGCATTGTGGCCTAGCAGAAATTCATCATGCGTTGAAAATGGGTAGCCAGCCACTGTTCAACACTATCATTTCGTTCCACAGGGAAACCGACCATGAGACATTGACAGATTCCAGTATCAAGGTGGAAGCAATTGAAGGATATGATCCGACTGAGGTAAACAGTTCTTAGCATAACATGTGTTCGTCTCACTAATGATATGGTGTCTAGTACGCGCTCGCTCTCGATGTTGGTGTCACGGAGAGCAAAGTCAATGTCACATTGCAATACTGGACTAATGATTTCACTCGATCTCAAGTCACGAATATCGGTGCTACACTTGCCAGAGCTCTCGAGTCAACCGTCCAGGAGGCAGATAAGACAGTCGGAGAATGTGATCTCGTCAGCGAGGAGCATTTGCGCCAACTCCAAACATTCACAGATGTATATCCCGAAGCAACAATGGAATGCATTCACGATGCGATAAAAGTCCAGGTTCTTGCACACCCCGATGCTGAAGCCATATGCTCTTATGAAGGGAGCTGGACCTACAAAGAGCTTGATGAACAATCTACTCGACTTGCGCACCACCTCATCACTCTTAGAGTGGGCCCGGAAGTCACCGTTCCATATTGCTTCCAAAAGTCAGCATTGACCATCATTTCGATGCTCGCAATCTTGAAAGCAGGCGGTGCGGCAGTTGCTCTCGATCCAGGACATCCGGTTAATCGACTCGAAGGACTCATCGAGCAGACAGGCTCGAGGGTCATCTTGGCCGCACCTGCTAATGTTCATATCTTCAAAGACACCCCACATGTTGACCACGTTTTGGGGATTGATGTGAACTTCATCAACGGCCTGGCGCAACTGCCGGGGAGCCCCTGCTCAAACGTACAGCCTTCGAATGCAGCCTTTGTGGTTTTCACGTCCGGAACAACGGGGAAGCCCAAGGGCATCGTTCTGGAGCATTACAATCTACGGACCTGTGCCGTTGCAATGGGGCCAGTCCTTGGATTCAGCTCAGAGACTCGCGCCCTCCAGTTTGCCGCGTACACGTTTGATGTCTCTCTGCAGGATATCTTTACAACTCTTCAATTTGGTGGTACTGTTTGCGTAATCTCTGACGATGAGCGCTATAACGACCTCGCTGGTGGTATCAACTCTCGAAGGGCTAATTGGGCTGATTTGACTGCTACCGTAAGCGGCATGCTCCGGCCATCCGACGTACCAATTATGAAACGGCTTAATAACGGCGGCGAGCCTCTGAATCGCGACGTCGTTGAGACCTGGGCGGATGAGGTCGAGCTGTACAACCTTTATGGGCCGGCAGAGACTACAGTCAACCAAACGGCTAGTAAGCGACTCTCAAGGAATTCTGCAGCTACTAATATTGGCCCTGCTTATGGAACTCATGTTTGGATTGTCAACGAAGCAGATCCAAATCGTCTTGTTCCAATTGGCTGCACTGGTGAGATCCTTATCGAAGGACCGTTACTAGCAAGAGGGTATCTGAAGGACCCTGTCAAAACCGCCGCTGCTTTCATCGAAAATCCGGATTGGGTCCACCTTTTCCCAAGCTCTAGAACCATCCGTCGTTTCTACAAAAGCGGAGATCTCGGCTTACTCAATACTGATGGGAGTATCACTATTGTTGGCCGACGTGATACGCAGGTCAAGATCAATGGACAGCGAGTTGAGCTGGACGAGATCATGCATCAGGCCCAACAGCTTTTACCAGATGGGTATCAAACTGTCATTGACGCGATCTCCATTGAACAGCACACCAAGAGCAAGACTGTCATTGCCTACGTCTGCTCTCCAGAGTTCTCCAACCTTGGACAGGGCAAAGATCAAGCAAGCCTAGAAATCACTGGTGATTTACGAGAGCTACTCAAGAGCTTGCAAGGGTCGTTGGCGAAAGTGTTACCGTTCTATATGATACCTTCGCTCTTCGTGCCTATTTTCAAGATTCCCTCCACTCAATCAGGTAAGATGGACCGCACGACGCTGAGACAGATGGTATCTGGCTTCACGAAAGCCCAAATGTCCCATTACATGCTCCGAGATACCTCAAAATCTCAACCGAGGACTGAGATGGAACGACTATTCCAGAGCCTGTTCAGTGAAACTCTCAGCATCGAGGCTGAAACGATCAGCAGGGACGACAACTTCTTTGGCCTGGGAGGCGACAGTGTTGGAGCAATGAAGATGGTGGCAGCAGCACGGAAGCACAATACCACCATTCGTGTGTCAGATATATTCAAGCATCCAAACCTTGACGACATGGCTACTGTAGCTAGGACGACCGACGGCCAAAAGGCAACCGAACAGATTGAACCTTTCAGCTTGATTGCCCTCAACGGTTCCCCGCTCGGCAAAGTCATTCTAGACGTAGCAGCACAATCCAATCTTCTAGTCGGAGATATTGAAGATATTTACCCAACTTCCGCGCTCCAGGAAGGCCTGATGGCATTAGGAATGAGGAAGACCGGGGCATACATTGCGCAAAAGGTCTTCAGACTTCCTTCCCACGATTTCGATCTGTCGCGCTTCTATGCCGCTTGGACCACCGTGGTTGAGCAAGAAGCCATTCTACGAAGTCGTATCGTCCACTTGCCAAAGAATGGAAGCCTTCAAGTCGTCCACAGACAGCCACTTGCGTGGCGAGAAGCAGACGATCTGGAGGCTTACCTTACCAAAGACAAGCTTTCTCCTTTCCAATACGGGGATGCTCTAATGCGAGTGGCCATCGTCGAGGAGTCCAAGTCTGCCGTTCATTTCGTCTGGACAGCTCATCATGCGATCTATGATGGATGGACCATCTCTTTACTCTTTGAGAAAGTCACCCAAGCCTATCAAGGAGAACGTATAGCTGAGTCGACACCGTTCAAAACCTTCATTGGCCGCCTCGGCGAGGTGTCTGATGCAGCTAACCTAAAGTTCTGGAAAGATGAGTTCAAATCGCAAGGAAGCTTCCCCACCAGCTTTCCTATCGTTGGGCTCGGATATGCTGCAGGTTCAAAGAAAACCATTACCCTGCATGCTACAGCACCGGCCATCAATTCCAACATTCTGCCTTCCACAATCAAACGAGCTGCATGGGCGATGACACTCGCAACTTACGCAGATTCAGAGTCCATCGCTTTTGCTTCAACTGTCTCCGGCCGCAATGTCCCGATTTCTGGAATTGACACGATTATGGGGCCAACCATTACCACCGTTCCGGTGAAGGTGTCAGTGCCAAAATCAGGTATAACTACCGGCCAGTTCTTGAATGCCGTTCAAACTCAATCTATCAATTCAATGGACTACGAACATTTCGGACTGCAAAAGATTCGCGAAGTCAGCCCCGAGGCTCGCGCTGCCGTTGACAATATCACGAATCTTCTCGTATTGCAGCCGGTTGGCGAAGATAACGATTCTTTTCTCGGCATGGACCCTCTCCCAAGGCCGGAAGAAAACTTTGACATGTATCCGCTTGTGGTTCTTTGCAATTTGGGCAGCAATGGAGACTTCTCCGTCGAAGCAATGTATGACGTAGATGTTATTCCTACAGATCAGATGACACGAATGCTCCATCAATTTGAGCATTTCGTGCAGGAGCTCTCCGGAGATTCTCAGAAGCCCGTCGAAGAGATTGAGCTACTGAACCCACATGACCTCAAGGCCATTACCACATGGAACGCCGAGCTTCCCGAGAGCATCGATGCTCGGATTCCAGACCTGGTACTCAAGAATGTTGAAGCCAGACCCAATGCCGAGGCGATATCCGCATGGGATGGCACCGCAACCTACAAGCAGCTTGACGTCTTGTCTGCGAAACTCGCAAGCTATCTGATCTCTATTGGCGTTGGTCCAGAAGTCAAAGTAGGGCTTTGCTTCGACAAGTCCATGTGGAATATAATCTCCATGTTCGCAGTCATGAGGCTCGGCGGTGTCTGCGTGCAGCTCCTGCCCAGTTACCCAATGCCGAGAATGCTCAACATCCTTGACGATATCGAGGCTTCAGTGGTGCTTGTATCTCCTCAATATGCTGGTCTCTTCGATGGCATCGTTCCAAATGTCCTGTCCATCGAGACCTCTTTTGTCGATTCTCTAACCCAGAAAGACTTCAAAACTCCCCAGTACGGACCCGAAAATGCCGCATTCATTGTCTTTACTTCGGGCAGTACGGGAAAGCCCAAGGGCGTCATCATCGAGCATCGCGGATTTACTACAATGGCCCACTATCAGCTTCCTCAGATTCTTCTCAACCAGAACTCCCGCGTCCTTCAATTTGCAACCCACACATTCGATATTTGTTTGTTCGAGAGCTTTGCACCTCTAGTGACTGGTGCATGCGTCTGTGTCCCATCTGAGTATGACCGACTGAACAACCTGGTCGGCGCCATCAACGGTCTGAGAGTGGATTGGATCATCATGGTGTCAACGGTTGCAGATACCTTCCATCCGGACGAAGTACCAGGGCTCAAATCAATGGTCCTCGGAGGCGAACCGCTTCGTGCTGATATCCATGACCGATGGGCTAATCGAGTCTCCCTTTTCAACGACTACGGCCCAGCAGAGTGCTCTATCCTGGCGGTGATGACTAGATCGTTGCCTGATACTCCTCCATCGATGATAGGGAAGGGTCAGGGGTGCAGGACTTGGGTCACCGACAAGGCAGACTCTAACCGCCTACTTCCCATCGGCTGTATCGGCGAGTTGCTCGTTGAGGGTCCTCTTCTTGCGAGGGGCTATCTCAAGAATCCAGATAAGACGGCGGAATCCTACATCGCTGCTCCTGCATGGGCGTCCTCTATTGAGCCTCCGCCTACGAGACTGTACAAAACTGGAGATCTAGTCCGGTACACGAAGGATGGCAACATGACCTGCTTAGGTCGCAAGGATACACAGATCAAAATCCGCGGCCTTCGTGTTGAGCTAGGGGAAATCGAACACCATATCAAGATGAGCTCGTTTGGAGCCCAACACCTTGCTGTTGAGAAGATTCTTCTTGGTGGAGACATCGAAAAGGCGGCTCTGGCTGCGTTTCTCGTGCCTTCGGCCGAGGAGATTGGAGACAGCCAAAACGAAATTCTTCCCTTATCCGACGCACTAAACACCAAGTTCTTGCAGCTAAGAGATCATGTTGGACAGTCCCTGCAGACTTACATGGTCCCATCTCTGTTTATACCACTCCAGAGAATGCCGGAGACACAGACCGGGAAAATTGACCGCAATGCATTGAAGAGAATCGGAGCCGGCTTGACACCAAGCCAAGTTGAGGCTTACTCTCTTGCAGATGCTGAAGACTCAGCTCCACGACGCGCCCCGTCAACGGCCATCGAGATGATACTCCAGTCGATCTGGGCACAGCTACTGAATATTGACCCTGTATCTATCGGCGCCGACGACAGCTTTTTCAAGAAGGGCGGCGACAGTATCAAAGCAATGAGGCTAACTTCCATGGCGAGATCGGAAGGCTACAAGCTGATTGTCGCGGATATCTTCAAGAACCCAGTGTTGGCTGATATGGCGATGACAGTAGTTCCCGAGGATGTCTCTGCGATCCAATCCATAGTGCCGCCATTCAAGCTCGCTTCAGGAGATATTGGTAACCTGATTCAGGAATCATCCGCTCAATGTGGAGTCGACAAGAGCGCTATCGAGGATATATATCCATGCACGCCTCTGCAAGCCGGCCTGATGGAGCTTGCTACGCAACAAGGGACCGCTTACACAGCTCAAAGAGTCTTCCGTTTCCCCACCGATATTGATATCACTCGCTTCAAGACGGCTTGGACCCAGCTTGTCGCCCTCAATCCGATCCTGAGAACCCGAATCGTTCTATCAAAGACTGGGGCAATGCAAGTCGTTGTCAAAGAAGGTGTTTCGTGGCAGCACGAGACCTCTCTCTCCAAGTATACCGCAAGCGACAAGCTAGTTGAGATCCACTACGGCAGCCCCCTTGCTCGGTATGCTCTTGATCTCGAACATAGGCACTTCATCTGGACTGTGCACCACGCCCTATACGACGGGCACAGCGCCAACCTCGTCATGGAACAGTTAGAAGCTCTCTACGAAGGGTCTCAGGTCGCACCTGCAGCGGGCTATAACCAGTTCATCAAGCTGATCGAAGATGTTGATCCAACAGCCTCCAATACTTTCTGGAGTCAACAGCTGAGTCAGGGCGCGCCCCAGAGCTTTCCTGCTCTTCCTTCGGCCACCTACCAACCATCGCCTGATCGCGAAGTCACAAAATCCATCGACATCGTATCGAGCGGAAACGACTTCATGCTCTCAACGATTCTTCGAGCCGCTTGGGCCATTGTTACAGGTCGATACATGGGCTCTGACGGGGTCGCATTCGCTGCCACTTTGTCTGGACGCAACGCCCCCATCCCAGGCATTGAGACCATCGTCGGCCCAACTATCACTACTGTGCCTATTCAAATTCAGATGAACCAGACATCCACTGTCACACAGTTCTTGAGCAGATTGCAGCAACAACAAGCCGATATGATTCCTTTCGAGCACGCAGGCCTCCAAAATATCTACGCTATGGCAGGAGACAGGCAAAATCTTAAGAATCTCTTCGTCATCCAGCAGCCGCTCGCGAATCTTCAGGACAAGCGCCAAGGCAATCTTCTCGATGAAGTCCTCGACAAGGATCTTCTTCTCGGCTTCCATACCTATGCCGTTGTTGTGGAGTGTATGATCATGAGCGAAAATAAAGTCGATGTGGAGCTCCAGTTCGATCAAAAAGCTTTGCCGGAAGCATCGGCTCGAAAGGTTCTCGACCAATTTGAACATGTCGTTCAGCAACTGACCAAGGCACCTTCATCCACTCCCCTTCGAGATATTGAGCTAGTCACGCCAGCGCACTTCCAGCAAATGATTGAATGGAACAATATGGTTGACGTCCAGAACGTAGAGAACTGTGTTCATAACATCTTCCGCGAGCAAGTCAAACTCAGGCCAGATGCGGAAGCGGTATTATCGTGGGATGGCTCCCTTACTTACCAGCAGCTGGATCAGCTATCTGAGAAGCTGGCCGCTTACTTGGTTGAGAGAGGTGTCAAACCAGAATACCTCGTGCCCATGTGCTTCGACAAATCTCTTTACGCAGTGGTCTCTATGATGGCAGTGCTCAAAGCTGGAGGCGCTTGCGTCCATCTTGGGAGAACTCAGCCAATCGCGCGCATGATCCAGATCATCCAGGAAACCGGTGCCAGCATTGTTCTCACGGATAGACTCCATGCGGACCAGTTTGTGGGCATTTCAGACACCATTGTAATTGAGGAAGAACTATTCGCTACCCTCTCCTCGAGTGCGCAACTTCCTCAAGTTTCTTCATCAAATCCGGCGTTTGTCCTATTCACTTCTGGTTCTACCGGAAAGCCAAAAGGTATCGTGGTTGAGCACGGCTCGCTCTGTACCTCCTCCAAGGCACACGGCACGAACAGAAAAGTCGGCCCTCATACCCGACTCCTTCAAGTAAGACTTCCTCGTGTATTTTCACAGCTTAGACTAATAGAAATCAGTTTGCCGCCTATACTTTCGATGTGGCTACTGCAGATGTATTCACGACTCTCCAGCGTGGAGGCTGCATCTGCATACCCTCGGAAGAGGAGCGTGTTAACGACTTGCCTGGCGCCATCAACCGGATGAAGGCTAATTATGGGTTCTTGACTCCAACTGTCGCTGGCATGCTGGATCCACAGAGTGTTCCAACCCTGAAAACCCTCATCTTGGGTGGTGAGCTACTAACTCAAGATAATGTCAAGACATGGGCTCCATTGGTTCGTCTGATTATTAGCTACGGTATGGCAGAGTGTAGCATCCACTGCATGGACGCGGTTCCGTTGACGTTGGAGAGCGATCCCGCGAATCTCGGCCGCCCATCTGGATGTCATATGTGGATCGTCGACGCTGAGGACCACAACAAGCTTGCGCCCATCGGGTCCGTTGGGGAATTGATGATCGAAGGTAGAATGGTCTCTCGCGGCTACCTCAACGACAAAGAAAAAACAGATGCAGCCTTCATCATAAGCCCAACTTGGGCGCAAGGCAGCGGCCGTATGTACAAGACGGGCGACCTCGTCAAGTACAGCGCCGAAGGCGAGATTTGCTATGTCAGTCGAAAGGATTTCCAGGTCAAGCATCATGGCCAAAGGATTGAACTCAGCGAGATTGAGCACCACCTTGTCGCCGATACCCGCGTGAAGCACGCCGTGTCACTGCTGCCGAAAGCAGGCTATCTCAAGAAGAAGCTCATCACTGTCCTATCACTCGAGTCGCTGGCTTTGCCGCTCAATGCAGACTCTCAGCTTGCGTTGATTGCCGGGTTAGATAAAGGCATGGCGGAAATACAGGTTACTTCCGTTCGCAACAATCTGGCAACAATCGTACCGGAGTACATGGTTCCAGCCTTATGGATCGTTGTGCGCGCACTCCCCTTGACGTCGAATGGAAAAATGGATAGAGTCACCATCCTTAAATGGATTGAAGAGATGGAAGAGCATGTTTACGAATTGATAGCTGGTGGAGACGATGACGAGGATGATTGGGCTACTGCGGCCACCGTACAACAGAAGCGACTACAAGAGATCTTAGTCGAGGTTCTTGGCTTGCCCGGAATCAACATGAACCGGTCATTCCTGGATCTAGGCGGCGACAGCATTACTGCTATGCAACTCCGCGCGAAGGGACAAGCGCAGGGTATTTCCCTGAGTGTGAGGGATATCATCACTTGCGAAAGCATTTCTCATCTCGCTATGCAAGCAAAGTTCTTTGAAGAAGGTGTCAACGGGGTTGAAGAGGTGGTTGGGAAGCCGTTCCCATTGACTAACTGGCAGCAATTGTGCGTTCAATCTACCACTGTGCAAGCTCAGACAATCGTACTGCGACTAGCAGAATCCACTACGGTACCAAAGCTTGTCCGAGCCATCGAGGCGCTTATCCAGCAACATTCTATGCTTCGGGCACGACTTACGCGAAATGCCGAAGGAAGCTGGAGACAAATTATCACCAAAGAACTCACCGGGTCCTACGCTTTCGAAGCGCACACTTTGTCCACGAAGGCAGAGCTTGACTCTTTCTTACCAAAAATGGAAGAAATCCTAGACATCGAAACCGGGCCTCTCTTCACAGTCCATCTTTTCGACGTAGTAGAAACAGCCGAGGAGCAGCAGCTGATCGCAATCACGATCCATCGTTCAATTGCAGATTTGACTTCAGTGAACATCGTTGTAGAGGATCTCCAAGAGCTATTGCAGGGTGGCATGATTTCTTCTAAGAAGGCGGCCCCATTCCAATCGTGGCTCAATGAAGAAGAGGTCGTCAATGGAGAAGGGATCAAATTCAACATATCCGCATGGGGTATCTCAGATCCAGACGAACTCAAGGCAAAGACGGTTGAGAAGTCGCTTGCCCTTTCAACCGACACATCTTCGCTGCTATTGGGCATCAGCAATGGCGCGCTTTCTACACAACCTTCGGACATCATCATTGCTTCTCTCGCTCAAGCCTTAGCTGCAAGCAATCTACCCACAACCGTTTCAATCAAAGAGGATGGCCGGAACTCCAGGACTGTGGGACAATTCAATCGCATCCGTCAGTTCGACGAAAGTGGTAGCCAGGACTTGATCCAGCTCCTCAGCAAAGTCAAGGATTCTCGCGTCCAGAATGAGGCCAATCTAACCCTGATGAAATCACCACCAACCTTCACGGGAGTTCTCTTCGAATATGTGGACGAAACCACCCTTGGTCACGGCAACGAAATTGCCCTAGATTCCATCAAAGCCTCCCAACAGGAGCCTCAGGGGCCTTCTGCGGTCCTCGACGTCTCCGCAACAGTCTTCCATGGCAGCATCACCATTAAGATACTGGTGCACAGTGTCCGCCTCGCCATTCAAGAGTCAATCTATGGCCTTGTCGATAATCTCGCATTTTCCATACCGGTCTTTGCGGAGAAGCTGGCTACGATCCCTAGCATGGCCACGTTGACCGACTACCCTCTGCTCAAGATGACGTACGACCACCTCGCTGAGTTCGAAAACGCAATCCGCCATGTCGGTCTATCCTTCGATCATATCGAAGATATCGTGCCTTGCACACCACTCCAGACCCGAATGCTAGCCAGTCAGCAACGAACGCCAGGGACGTACCAGTCCAATACCGCCCATATCGTCTCCGCCCCTGGTGATAGCGAAGTCGACAATGCGAAGCTTGGCTTGGCCTGGGAGAAGATAGTAGCGCGCCACGAAGCCCTTCGCACTGTGTTCATTCCGTCTGTGATCCGATCGGGCGAATATGACCAGGTCGTCCTCAAAGACTACAAGGCTACTATTAGCATTCTCACCGAGTGCAATAAATCCGAAATCCTCGAAATCGTTCAGACACACACCTCACTCACTCGCGCCTCCAACCCGCAAGCCGCATTCACGGTATTCAAGTGTAAGCCTGGAGAAGATGTCTACTGCAAACTCGAGATCAGCCACGCGCTTCAAGACGGCATGTCGACACGGAAAATCTATCAGGACCTCGTCCTCGCGTATCAGGACCTCCTGGCGGCGGGCCCGGCTCCCAGCTTCCGCCGGTACGTTGAATGGATTGAGAAACAGGACTTGGCGTCCTCGATCAACTTCTGGACAAGATACTTGGGAGAGAGCAAGGCATGCCATATGCCTCGCCTCGGACACGCAACCGAACAGGCCAAGGGCGAGCACCAACTCATCGGATTCCCGGAACTGGGTGTCTCGGCCGCCGACATTACGAACATGTGCAGAGCGAACAACCTCACCCCTGCTACACTCTTCCAAGCGGCGTGGGTCCTTGTCCTGCGCCACTTTACCAAGCAGCAGGATGTTCTATTCGGCTACATCACGGCAGGGCGAGATATCGACATCCCTGGCATCGAAGACATCGTCGGCCCAATGATCAACATGCTCGCATGCGGCATGCACGTCGATAGCAACATGACGAGTGGAAAGTTGCTGAAGGCGACGCACGAGAGCTGGCTGCAGACGCTGGAGCACCAGCACGGGTTGGTCGCTGCGGCTGCGGCGGTAGAGAAGAGAGATGGACGGCTACCGTGGAACTCGGTCTTGAGCTTCGAGTATTCTGGGTCTGACGATACCGGCGCGGATGCGTACTTCCCCACTAGCGACGGCATTGCTGGGTCGTCGCCGCTGAACTTCGAGACTGTCTACGGCACCAGAGCGCCTGAGTTTGATGTTGTGCTCGGTGTCTTGCTGGGTGAGAGGAGTGTGGAGGTGCAATTGGGGTATTGGGATGGGGTGATTGAGAAGGCGGTCATGGATGAGGTGCTGGTCATGTACAAGAGGGTTTTGGAGGAGTGGGTTCGAGATGGGGATCTCGGGGATCGCATTGGGGAGATGAAGATTGCGGTGTAGAGCCATGGAAATTGGACTACCGTTTGACCGACCGAAGAAGTGCTAGCCGGGGTACTCCTTACAGTGGTACCCGGTGAGCAAGAGGGAAGCCCGACGAGTGAGATGTCCGTGTGCACAAAGTTATGGCCTAGTACCGTACTGTTTTTTTTTTGGTTTCGTTTTCATGCTTGTTGATTTTGGAGTTTTGGAGTCTCGCGTATGGGAGTAGTGCAATTCACGACGTTTGGATATTTACATTCAATGCGTATAATTATGTATCCTTCAGAGGTGTCTTCCATAGCTATCTTACACTCCAAAACGCACGCTCGTACGGCTTAATTTAAGGTGTGAGGGAGTAGTGCAATTCACGACGTCTTAACCGTTACATTGAAGATGTAGAATGATGCAACCCCCAGGGGTGTCTTCCATGGTTATCTGGGACTGCAAAATGCACGCTTGAATGGCCTGATTTAAAGAGCGCAGGAGCAATGCGATTCACGACGTCTCGACCTTTACATTTGATTATGCAACCTCCAGGGGCGTCTTCCATAGTTATGTAGGTCCGCAAAACGCACGCTCAAGTAGCTTAATATAGCACACGCGGGAAAGCAGTTAATTATACGCGATTTATTCACCAGGAACTGTACGATCGATAGAGTAGCATTCCGTGGGTATTAAAGCTCAATCTTCTCAATGTACCGCCAACAACAACACTCCCAATCACCCTAAGCCCCCGCAAGCATGTCCTCCCTGGCCTCTCTCTCGGCCCTTAGGACAGCAATCAGGCGCTGCTGCTTCGCCGCTTGTTCCTTAAGTTCTCGATTCTCCATTAGGAGCTCCGCCATCGTGGGGCCTTCTGCGTCTTCTTCCTGCTTGAGTGACATGCTGCGTTCCTCCCTAGCGAACGGTGCGTCTGCTGCTCGTATGCCCTCCTTCAGCTTAGCCTTCAGCACTTCCGCCCGTTCTTCCAGATCTTCCAACTCGCGCTTGTGTCGTGCCCTAGCCTCGTCGTGAGTACGCGCGGGAGCCTCGTGGTGGTAGGGACGCCTAGGAGGCCTGTAGCTGTCGGTACTACGCTTCGGGACTATACCACGCCCCGGGGCTATGATAGTGTTGAAAGGAGCAAAAGGTGGTGATTTCGACCGCTGATAGGGCACATGACGGTCCAGGTTCTCTATGCTATTGCCGGGGGCGTTCAGTGACGCTTCGTCCGCTTCTTCCGCTTCTTCCGCTTCTTCCGCTTCTTCCGCTTCTTCCGCTTCTTCCGCTTCTTCCGCTTCTTCCTCATCATTCCAGTCATTGTACGAGAAGAGCGTCCTCTCCTCTGACGCCGAGGCCCCGGAAGCACGGGAAGTGGTGCGACGCTTCTTAGACTTTGGGGTACGGGTATCCTCCAGTAAGACGGCCGCCATGTCCAGTTTCCGCTTGTACGCCTCGTCGTTCAAAGCGCGATATCTGCCACCGTACGTATCGTCGAAGCCGCGCGGCTCGCGTCCAATCCGGTTCCTCCACCAAATGCTCCCTTTGATACACAATGGGCAGGCCGCATTCTCATGCTTGATCTGGTCTTTGCACCAAGCGCACCTGTCGTAGCAGCCGTAGAAGTCGTCGTGGCCTAGCTCCCAGCACCGTATGCAGAGGCCTCTGCCGACGTCACGTGGGACCTCGTCGTCGCTCACGGTGATGTAGTCGCGGCCTCGGTGTCGGAATATGGCAGTTTGAAATGTATGAGGGGACTGTGTGGATAAGCGTTTTGGGTTGGACATCGAGGACAAGGCGCCGGAGGGCAGAGGAGGGTAGAAGTCGGACATTGATAGAGGTTGGAGCGGGCAGAGGCCGGAGCAGGCAGAGGCAGAGGCCGGATGAACGTACAAGAAGGCTAGAGAGTGTAGAAGGAAAGACGGTTGATGAGGGCAGAGCGTGGAGATGGTGACCGCGAGTTGGTGAGGCGAGGTGAAGTGACGAGGGTAAGAGCAAATGGTGGCCGACTTGTTTATAGGAAGAACGCCAGAACTCGACACGATTAAAACGTCCCACTTTCCCACAGCAACAATCTCTCACCTGATGCCCGAGAATGCTAGGGTGGCAACTCTTGGCAAGGTTCGTAAGAGAATGAACTCAGGGCTGCTTGAAGAAGGTATCACGGTAGAACCTAGCTTCCTCAATGCTCTCAATGATATCTTGACGCGCCTCATGTAGTCCCAACTTTGGCGGCACTTTCGCCAGAACTTCGTTAGGTGCCCATCGTTTTGCAGCCTCTTTGATAGAGCTGACATCCAGGATTCTGTAGTGAAGATGGTCGAGGACAATGTTATAGGGCGACTTGGCCAGGAATGCCTTGTCGGCGTGAACAGAATTGCCAGCCAAGAGTGCCTCTCCCGCTTTCGGCACCAGCTTTTGTATGTATTCTAGGAGGCGTGTGGCGGCTTGCTCGTGACTAACTTCGGACGCAACGCAGGCTTTTGTGAGTCCTGAATCACCGTGATGCTGCTGGCACCACTCGCCCATTTTCTCGAGGGTCTTCGCGCTGTGATGAATCACGACTTCGAAGCCATCCTTCTCTAGTAAGTTGAGGTCGTAGTCGGTGACGAAGCATGCGATCTGGAGGATTGATTCCGCCTCGGGATCGAGTCCGGTCATCTACATTCATCAATTAGCGAACAAGCTTAGATGAGAGATGGATATGATTACCTCGCAATCAATCCACACGAGAGGGTCTGTAAACCAAGGCATGCTGGCGCCGCTTTCAAGGAAGCTGTGAGGAGATGAGGCAGACCGGAATATTGAAAGTGTGTTGTTGTTATATGAAGCGAGTGAAGTGGAAGTGGTTTCATCCCGTCCCACTTTGGAAAGCGCGTGTTGGGTCCGGGGTTGTTCCACTAGCGCCAACGCGTCGCGCCTTCCGTTGTTCGCGTTCTCCAAATCATGGAATCACCCGTCCGTCTCCCCACACTTCACACTTTCTGCTTCACACTTTCACCGCCCACATCTTAACGCAAACTTCGATACCCATCTTTCCACCCAGTCGTCGTTCCAATTGCATGTCTATTCTTGTTAACATGTCTTCTCGAGCTGCCAAGTTGGCCGAGCTGCGTGCTCTCCGCGCTGCAGGAAAGACGCGTTTGTCAACGTATGAGGTTGCAGATGAAGAGCAGCTCTATGAAGAGGTTGATGAAGAGGGATACAAGAAGGTCGTGCGAGGGCGACTTGATCAGGACGACTTCGTTGTAGACGACAATGGCGAAGGCTATGCCGACGATGGTAGAGAAGACTGGGACACCACGGACAAACGCTACGACTACAGCGAGAGTGAGGATGAGCGACCCGTGAAGGGTAAAGCTGGTACGTACCCCAAACTCACTTTATATGTCCGTTTTCTGATGTTGTATGTGATAGCCAAGAGGAAACGCGAGGAGGAACGAGACAAAGAAGAGAAGATCAACAGCGGCATCAACAAATACTTCAACGCGAAGACGGCTACCAAGGCTCCTAAGCCAAAGGTTAGTCGACCATGACATCTGTCAGGGCCCTTACTGACAACACGTATAGCCCGTAGCCACTGCCGACGACGATGCCTTCATGGCAGACCTACTCGGCGAGGTCGACGCAAATGTTCCCCGTCGCCCCGCAGCCATTCGCATGCGTCCAGTCAAGACTGAACACCGACGAAAGACTCGCGTTCTATCCCCTCCAATATCTGAAAATCGGCCCAGGACCACGAAAAATCCAGACAACTCGGACGCGTTCATGATGGATACTCCGCCAGCCACATCGTATGAAGATGACGGATATCTGCCTACACTGGACGACGATGATGTTGCTATGAGTGACCCCCCTTTACAATCCTCCCCAGTTTCAAAGGCGGTTGAGCGCAAAAGTCAGGGCACTATCAAAGTGGAAGAGGACGAAGATGACGATATGTTGGAAGTTGCCCAGCCAATCCGTCATTCTGGAGCAGCCTCCGTCAGTGTGAACATTTCCGGAAGTCGACCAGCTCTCAGGGTCAAAAAGCCGACCTACCCCACACCGGACAGCTCATCTCCTGTGCGAGGACCCATTGATGCTGTGGATGCATCTTCCTGGACCGATGTGACCAACAAACTCAACATTATGAGTAGCCCGGCTCCAAATGCCGCTGCTCCTGGAAAGTTGAGTCAAAAGTCAGCTCAAGAAGAAGATGGCAGTGTCCACATGTTTTGGATGGATTACACAGAAATCAACGGCAGCCTATGCTTGTTCGGAAAGGTAAAAGACAAGACTACTGGAGCCTATGTCAGTTGCTTTGTCAAAGTCGACAACATTCTTCGGAAGCTGTACTTCCTCCCGCGCGAACACCGTCAACGACATGGCCGCGACACGGACGAGGAGGTGGAGATGAGCGATGTCTATGAGGAAGTCGATGGCCTCATGACAAAGCTTCGCGTAGGAATGCACAAGATCAAGCCATGCACGAGGAAGTACGCTTTTGAATTGCCCGACATTCCTAAGGAGGCGGATTATCTAAAGTTGCTTTACCCCTACGACAAATCTCCACTTCCAGCAGATCTGAAAGGCGAGACCTTCTCGCATGCATTTGGATCCAACACGTCACTTTTCGAACAATTTGCTCTCTGGAAGAATCTCATGGGACCGTGTTGGCTTAAGATCGAAGGAGCGGATTTCAACGCAGTTAACAATGCCTCCTGGTGCAAACTAGAGCTCCAAGTCGACAAGCCCAACTTGATTACGACCCTTGGGAACTCGGACAACCTGGACGCTCCACCATTGAACCTAATGAGTTTGGCCATTCGTACTACTTTCAACACAAAGGACAACAAGCAGGAGATTCTGATGATCAGCGCCATGTTTTACGACAACGTTTCCCTGTCAGACACTACACCAGCAGACAAGCTTCAAGCCAAATCATTCACTGTCATGCGTCCTAATGGGGAGTCTTTCCCTGCTGGATTCAAAGCTGAAGTAGACAAGCAAAATGGAACGATTCGCCTCGAAAGGACCGAAGGGGCTGTTTTGAGCTTGTTCATGGCCATGCTTCAGAAGAATGATCCCGACGTTATTGTTGGTCACCGTCTCGACGATGTCGACTACAGCGTCTTGCTGAACCGGATGAGAGAAAGAAAAACCCCCGGCTGGCACAGAATTGGACGACTACGGAGAAGCGACTGGCCGAAAAACATGGGCAAAGGTGGTGGTAGCTTCTTCGTCGAGAGGCAACTAGCTTCAGGGAGACTACTTTGTGATCTGGCCAACGATCTCGGAAAGGTGAGACCGACTTCCGCGTTCCATTACTTGATGCTAACGACTTGTAGTCGCTCATGACAAAATGTCAATCGTGGAGTTTGGACGAGATGTGTGAACTAGTCCTCGGTAAAGGCAAAGTTCGCCGAGAGCTGGACAACGAAGTAGTGCTTAAAACATGGGCAACAACACGCGACGGACTCTTGAGTTACGTCAAGCATTGTATGGCCGATGCTTACTTCATTGCCGCTATTTCCCTCAAAGTTCAGATGCTCCCTCTTACCAAGGTCTTGACGAATCTTGCCGGAAATTCGTGGGCCCGCACATTGAGCGGCACGAGAGCAGAACGAAATGAATACATCTTGCTGCACGAGTTTTACAAGAACAAGTACATCTGCCCAGACAAGGTGTGGGGCAAAGGCAAGCAGAAGATTGAGGAAGAGACTCCGGAAGGCGAAGAGGGCGTAGATGCCAAGAAGAAAGACAAGTACAAAGGTGGTCTTGTCTTTGAGCCCGAGAAAGGCTTATATGACAAGTTCATTTTGGTCATGGACTTCAACAGCTTGTACCCAAGCATCATCCAGGAGTACAACATCTGCTTTACTACCGTGGACAGGTCAGATCTTGACGATGATGAGAAGGTTCCTGAAGTGCCTAGCAAGGACGAAGAACCAGGCATTCTACCAAGGCTTATCAAGACCTTAGTCAACCGTCGACGAGAAGTCAAGAAACTCATGAAGGACCCTAACGCTTCTCCGGATGACCTTGCGACATGGGACATCAAGCAACTTGCGCTGAAGCTCACCGCCAACTCCATGTACGGTTGTTTGGGGTACACGAAGTCTCGCTTCTACGCTCGTCCTCTCGCCATGCTCACGACTTACAAGGGCCGTGAGATTCTTCGACGCACCAAGGAGATGGCTGAAGAGAAGATGCTTCGTGTCGTCTATGGTGATACTGACTCGGTCATGATCAATACCAATGTGGACAACATGCAAGAAGCAATGAAGATCGGAAACGAGTTTAAGAGAGACGTCAATAACAGCTATTCGTTACTCGAGATCGATATCGACAATGTCTTCCGCCGTCTCCTGCTTCACGCAAAAAAGAAGTACGCTGCCATTAACATGGTCAACATCGACGGCAAGTTCGTCGAAAAGCTCGAAGTCAAGGGTCTTGATATGCGGCGAAGGGAGTACTGTGCTCTGTCCAAGGACACGTCCTCTGCACTTCTCAACTTCATTCTCTCCGGCGACGAACCCGATGTCGTAATTGAGGAAATCCACGAATACCTCCGTGTGCTCGCGCAGAAGATGCGTGACTTCCAAGTTCCCGTCCAAAAGTACACCATCTTCACCCAGTTGGGAAAAAATCCCAAGGAGTATCCCAACGGAAACAGCATGCCGTCCGTTCAAGTTGCGCTCCGACAGATAGCCAAGGGCAAGCACGTCAAAGCGAAAGACGTCATGAACTTTGTCATTACGGGCGAGAGCAGCGGGTCTGCTGAGCAAGCGGCTAAGAATGCTTTCCCAATCGACGAGGTCGCAAAACAGGATTCGGGATTGAAGCCAGGTAAGAAACCGTCATTCTTCTTCTCATACAACGCTAACAAAACCACCTAGACATCGATTACTACCTCCACAAACAAATCCTCCCGCCCGTCGAGCGTCTCTGCGCACCCATCCCCGGCACCAACATTACCCAGCTCGCGGCCTGCCTCGGACTCGACGCCTCCAAATACCGCATCTCCTCCGCCTCCGCCTCCGCCTCCCAGGAAACCGAAATCCATCCCCTCGAATCCCAAATCCCCGACTCGGTCCGCTTCCAAGCCTGCGCCCCACTGCACCTCCGCTGCCGCACCTGCACCTCCGTGTTCCAGTTCCCCGGACTCTCCGCCGCAGCCAAAGCCGGCCTCGTTGGCGCAGACGGCGTCAAGTGCGCAAACGCGTCCTGTGGAGCTGTCCTCTCGACTCTCAGCATCACAGCGCAAGTCGAGTCTGCGATCCGCCAGCACCTCGCCCGCTACTACACCGGCTGGCTCGTGTGCGACGACGCCGACTGCGGCAACCGGACTCGCATGATGAGCGTATACGGGCACCGCTGCTTAGGTCCCAAGGGCCTCGCGGCGGACTGTCGCGGCAAGATGGGGTGGGAGTACACCGAGAAGGAGGTCTGGAATCAGTTGCTGTATCTCCGGAGTTTGTTTGATGTTGAGAAGGCGGTGAAACCGGATGAGGCGACGGGTGGTGTCAAGACGGAGAATGGAGCCGCGGAAGCGGAGAAGGCGCGCGTGAAGGTGCTGGCGAGTCAGAATCGGGAGCGATTTGGGACGGTGGAGGGGGTGGTGGGGCGGTGGTTGGAGAGGAATGGGCGGCAGTGGGTGCAGATGGATAGCTTGTTTGGGTTTGCGATTAACGGGGCTTGAGTGCGTCTAGGTCAGATAATTTTTGGGGTATGAGGTTTGGGTATGGAGTGAGGTTGGGCGTTTTTTCGTAGCATTTAGCATTCAATGGTTCGTCTCTCACGTCATGTCAAATTGGAGCTGCAGGGCAGTGGTGATAGTGACGGGCTTGAGTATTACGTGTGTCCTATCTATGGAGTCATAACCCCTATTCCAGGACCAAGGAAGGAGATTGAGCCAATGGAACTTTCTCTAGGAATAAGAGACGCTAGGTGCACCGACGGGGGTGAGTTGCGACCTCATAGCGAGATTGATATGTAGGAATGTGCTCCTGCTCTTCCACCCTATAGCCGATCGAAGTGGGTGCTTGTGGGCGTTGGAGGTGATTAAGGGCCAGGTAGGTGTGTTGCCTGCCTTTTCGAGATTGAGACCAAAGAAAGCCGTGAACTATTCAGCTAACCCCGTTCTCCACCTGCGCCGCCGTCCCACTCTCCGTATCTGGGATCTTCTTCGACGCCCGCGAAGCAACGACCTTGCGGCATGCGTCCTGGAAGATGACGACGAAGCGGTGCACGTCGACGAAGGAGTTGTACAGCGGCGCCGGCGCCACGCGTATGACGTCCGGCCGCCGCTCGTCGACGACCGCGCCCTCCTCTTCCAGGATCTCCATGACTTGATCTAGCATCCCTGGCTCTAGTAGGACGCTCAACTGCGCGCCTCGCTCGCCTGGCTGGGAGGGCGTGATGATGCGGTATGGCGGTGTGCCGTCTGCGTACTTCAGGAGGCGGGCTTCGAGGTACGCGGTCAACTTGACGCTCTTTTCTCGCAGTGCCTGCATATCTGTCATCGCGAAGACATCCAGTGACGCTGTGACGGCCGTCATGTCGAGCGCGGAGGGGTTCGAGAGCTGGAAGCCCGACGCGCCGGGGATGGGGACGAACTTGTTGTCCATGCGGAAGCGGGCGGACTTGTCACTGCCCCACCAGCCGCTGAGACGGGGGCGGAAGGTGAGCTGGTCCTCGCTCTTGGTTGGGTCTTCGGCGGTGCTACTACAGTTGGGCAAAGAGACTTTATCGACGCGGCCGTTCCGCTCGTGCACGAAGAGGCCGCCGATGACGCCGGGGCCGCCGTTCATGTACTTGTAGTTGCACCAGGCGGCGAAGTCGGCATTCCAGTCGTGTAGGTGCAGGGGGACGTTGCCGACGGCATGGGCGAGGTCCCAGCCAACTGTTATGCCTAGCGATTGTGCGTGGCGGGTTATGAGGGCGATGTCGAAGAACTGGCCGCTGTAGAATTGGATGCCAGGGAGAAGGAGGAGCGCGGTGGAAGCTCCGTGCTGGGATATCACTGACAGAATGTGTTCGGTAGAGAGGTAGGGACTGTCGGTACATGTTGGGGATATCAGCACGAGTGCTGAGATGTCTATGTTGTGGTGGGCGAGTTGGGACAAGGCTGCGTACTATGACCGTCTTAGCCCGGGAATCCCAATCGCTGTAGTCTCACCGAATGTGTACTTACGTGGTCGCTAGGAAATGCTTTCCCTTCGATTATGATCTTGTATCTATCCTTGGTCGGCTTGTAGAAGCTGGCCATAAGGAGATGCAGGTTCGCAGTCAACGTCTCCATAACCACGACTTCACCCGGCAAAGCCCCCACCATCTTGGCCGTCTGCTCCTTGATAGCATCGTCGATATGCAGCCATGGCGGCAGGCCCTCTTTCAGCTCTTTAAAGTGGCCATATACCCCTTTTGACGCCCACGTATCCAGGTACTTCTTCACATATTCGGAGGTTCGGCGGGGCTGTAAACCTAGCGAGTTCCCGCACATGTACACACATGTCTCCGAGCTCGTTGAATCATCGCCGGAGGTAGGGTTGGAGGTAGCAGGTCCGTATCGTTCGTTCTTCAGGTCCGCCTTTGTCGGAATCACAAACTCGTCGCGGAGGTGCTTGAGGGGGTCCTTCTGATCCTGGGCGGCTGCAAAGTCCAGGGTAACAAAGGCAGGGTCATTGCTGTCGTACAATGGCTCCGACCGGTAAGGCATTGCCGGCCTCACAGGAGGGTTTTGGTAGATTGGAGTAGGCGAGGGAGGTTTGAAGCTTCAGATGGCAGTCATGGATCGACCGATAGCAAGATCGGCACGTGTCGATGCGGGGAGCGCGGTTTCTCCGAGCCGTTGCCAAGACAGTTCTGCCACCGCTTTCGCCGCCGATGATCAATCCGTTCGTTCGCCGCCGGCACATTCACTCGGATATCTCTCCCTACAACCACCATGGCTTCTCCGTCGACGATGTGTACCGCGTGTCTGCGGAGCGCTAGAAGAATCACGCCGAGACTCAATACAACTGCACGCTTCCCAAGGCCATTAGCATCCCGATCATATACCTCTCCTCCGGCCGCCACCCTAGGAGTGCCACTATTTCTTGATTTCCTCGCGCCAGCATACAAGTCACGGCAATTGACAGCGTTACGATCATCAAGAGTGTCCCAATCACAGGCGACCCAATCAAGCTTCCGTAGCTTCTCTACCACTCCTTCGCCCCAAAGGGCAATACACAACCCGCGCAAAGATGAGAACGGGGAAGAGATGGACATTGAGATAACTCCTCGCGCAGCAAATGTCAGCCAAAGATATCTTGTTAGATTCTCCTTCAATTCCGATCACTGACTCTTTCCAGCGACTTCACCAAATAATGACCAACGACTCGAACCCAAACCTTGCATTGCGGATAACCGTCGAGTCGGGAGGTTGCCACGGCTTTCAGTACCTGATGTCCCTTACGAAGATTCCCTCTTCTCTCACCGAATCTTCGTCGCCTCCCTCCGAGGACGAGACACTTTCCGAAGACGATACAGTATTTGAGGGACCCCATGACACGAAGGTGGTGATAGACGAATCGAGTCTTGAGTTATTGAAGGGGAGTAAGGTGGACTACACCATGGAGTTGATAGGGAGTCAGTTCAAAGTAGTGGGTATACCAGGAGCGACAAGCAGTTGTGGTTGTGGCACGAGCTTCGACGTCAAGATATAAATATGGTACTCCTAATCCATACATCCATAACCGCAAGAGTTGAACTCAGCCATTCGTCGCACCTCCTCAGTGCCCTTTCCATCCCCGTTACCTATGCCCCAACACACCGGAAGGATGAAACCCTGTTATCCCAGCCTAATGCAGTATCAGCCCGTCAATTCCCCTGCTCATTGTATGCAAATAACCGAATCTTACCGTTCCAGGACATGTCCGCATACCCAGGCCACCATATATCCAGCGACGAGCCCGCGCAATAAGTATCACTAGCCTTCGTTAAGCCCCTGATACTCCAAGCATCTAATCGCAACCTCGTGGGATTCGACCACAACAGGCCGAAAGAAGGACTACTTACTCATACACGATACACTTCAATCCCTTATCCGGGCCAAACGAGCTAATAGCATTATTACTAAAGCGTTTGATAGAGATTAGCATATGCCGCGCCTTCCGTGCCTAACGAGCTCAGAATGATAAAACGTACTAGTCGCCCAAGAGATTAACACACAAGACGACCTCGGAGCCAAACACACTAGCTGGCAAAAAGACACAGCGGTTCTCGGTATGGTCAAGATGCCCCCACTCCTTGTCAGGGCAGAGGTAAGCCTAGGCCGTCAAAAGTCAGAGTGATAGTATGCGGGGATGGGATTTGCGAACTCCGCTGCCTGGTAGAATTGTGTCCACGCTGGTTATGTTAAATGACTTCGCGTTGGTGACATATGTGGCTACTTGGGAGCTCTGAATGGCGACTGCAGAGGCGACACCGAGAAATGCGGATAAACCCGCGAATGTGGGTAAGAAGGAAATCTTCATCGTGGTCGATTGTTGTACTGATGGCTTGTCAGTGTCTTGAAGGATGCCACAGAGAATTTATACGTTACTTAAAAACATCTCATTCGGCAATTCCCTGCAATATCGATGTTGCGTGCCACCGGTCCCCGTCGACTATGGCACGTAGCAATTCCTGTAGTAGTGTAATAGCAAACCACACATGCGATACGTCTAAGCGGCTGTAACCAAAGATTTGCAATAAACAAAAGGTTCCGTGGCTCCAATTAGCCTTTCTTCCTCACAAGGTTCATAATATGCCCTCCGCTCCTCGGCACAATAGACAATTGAAGACATACCATCCTAGCCTAGCACAGCAACCAATCTTCCTTCTTCTTACCCGAGTTATACAACTCAAAGCACGTTCATGAATCCTCCACACACTAGAAAGACGAAATCTTGTCATCCCAACCTATCACAGCATCAGTCTCCTTCCATCATCTATTCCATAAAGAAGCAGACTCCCAAACTTACCAACAGTCCTCAAATCCGGAATCCCCGGCCACCTAATGTCGTACCCTCCACCAGTACAGGCCGACGCACTACACCACATTAGCCCTATCTCCAAAGCCTTCGCCCTTCCTCCAACCCCGAATCGAAATGGTACACCGCACCACACCACACACAACCAACAAAATACCCGACTTACTCCCAAATCGTACACAACAACCCCTTATCCGGACCAAACGCCGAGATGGCATTGTCCCTACTCGGAGTCAGCCCGGCGCCATGCTGCGGCGCGGATCGACGTTTACCAACTCCCTGTGATCCCAATACACCACACTTCCGGATGCTCCTTGAGGTCGGGTAAAGGGGCTTGAACGCACCCGCCCCAATTCGGGTCCTTGCACATATAGACCTAGCCACCACGGGCAAGTCAGAAGGCATATGTGTGGGTAGATGGACGAGGAGCTGAGGGGAGGGGGTAACGCACTCCAGAGCCTGGTGGATAGGCGTCAGGCCTAGTAGTGCCTGTTTTGGTCGTGAAGAGGACGAAGGAGGGGTCTTCCCCGCGTGGAGTGTTGAGGGTAGCAGCGGAGGACCAGGCGAATAGGAGGGTGAATGCGGGGAGAGAGAGGAGCTTCATGGTGATGGGATGATGGGTGAGCTGAGGCTAGAAGGGGCAATAAGCTGGTCGAGAGGGGGTTTTATACCCCATTTATCCTTTGGTTGTTGCAATGTGCTACTTGTGAGGATAAGGTTTCATTACGATGGTAGGGTGCAGTATGCGAGACGTTGCTGTGTTGGAGTAGTAGATGCTACGTATATTTGGAACGAGAGTGCGATAGCTTTGGAGGATACAAGTGCTCTGGACCTTCATCGTAACGTAGTTCGCACGAGTACCAAGAAGCATCCGGATGTAGCATCATGCCTCATAATATTCGATTGTGATCTATTTGAGGCGTGAGTAAGCGAATCTCATCCAATTGTTAGTTTTGACTTCCAGCAGCATTCCCCGCCGTCTCCTGAGTCGGAAAAAACAAAAGTATGGACCTTGCTATCCACCAACATACCCACGTACGAGTGTCTTCAGAGACAGAGCTTTATGTATGCATTACATCAGCACACAGTTGTAAAAAGTGACAGCTCTCACGTATTCAAAGACCCCGCATTTTTACTGGTGACTGGGACTCTTTAATGAAGCGTGACTCTTACGGAATCACAACGGCACCTCGCATACAACGGGAGCACAAGATGCGGGACTTAATAAATATTTCCAATACATACAACTTATCCCGCTTCGCTTCGCTACACTCCTCCGGCCAGCCTCGCCCGGCCGAGCATAGTTCTATGAGTACAGAGAGACAACAGCACCAGGAATCACATTGCCTCTTCACCTCCATGCAACACGCTAATTCAGCAGAGTCTCACTTCGCCGCCGTCACGACGCCCTCGTACTCCCGGCTCGCAATGTAGTCCAGTGTGCGCTGGAAATGCTTTTTGGGGTTTTCGACGGATGACGTTGACTCATTTGAGGAGAGGTTCGAGTGGATCAGTTCGATGAGGCCGTTTAGGTACTTTGTCGTCACCTTTGCGGAACGTTAACGTCGTTTCGGCGGAGGAGGCAGAGAAGTGAAATGGAAATGAGGAAGAAACTTACAGCCTCGTTTTCTTGATCAAAGTAATAGACATAGCGGTTTAAAATCTCGACAAACAGCTCCACAGAAACAGCGGCGTCCATACATGCATCTGCGACGCGAAGAGCGCGTTGGAGACACTCAAGGACTCGTTTACCGTCCCGGTACAACTAGTCAAGTCAGCACAGATCAAACCTTGAGACACAACGTGCTAGTTGCCAGCTTTTACGACTTACTGTCTTTGGATCTTCCTCTCCTCTCCCCCGGATCTCGGTGGCCCACCATAGATGGCTCGCCAAGTAAACAGCACGACACTGGTCGGGCTTCTTGAGCAGCTTGCTTCCATGGAGAGCGGCCTTGGTAATGAGGGTGTCGTAGTTCTCCTTTCCGAAGCCTCTTGTTTCGTGTAGTGCGCCTGCAATGACGCACACAGCCTGGAACTGTGCTCTGCTATCCGAAATGGCCTCCTCGTAAATGGTGAATGCCTGTGCGAAAAACTCGTATGCAACTTCCTCATGACCGGTTTGGTCGGCGATCTGGCCACAGGCAGTGAAAAGCCGGAGAGAGAGGTCTGCCGACGCGGGTACACGCGTGTATAGTGCGCTGAGGGTGGAATGGAGGAATTTGTACAGGGCTGAAGTGGTGGAGGACCAACTGTCGTCCAGGTGCTCTCGGCGTTTGAGGGAACGTGCGAGTTTGAGCGATGCGGTGGCAAGTGCCGGAGTTGTGAATTTGACGCGCTCGTTGCCGTCGGCGAAAGACTTACGGGCGGTTTGCAAGAGTTTGAATTGAGTGTCGTTGTCCGGGCCTTTTATTAGGTGGGTGATGCGTGCAAGCCATCCCTGCTCTTCTATGGTCTCGTCTGTCTCCGTGGCTTTTCTCTGTATTGGGCCGCCCGGATATCCCGACGCTTGTTGGATGCCTTCTTTTATTAGGACCTTTAGAATCTCCAGTACGCTCTCGAGGTTCTCGACTGAAGTGATGGGCGTTTGATTTCTCAGCAGACTTCGTGCAACTTCGCCAGCCACAGCTCGTCGCGTGGGATAGGGTTGAGAATGTAGAAGTGGTATGAAACTCGGAAGTGCGAGCGCAGTAAACAGTGATATGTAGGTCTTTATGGGGGCGAGCAGGAGATTGAGAATTTGACTTTGAGTCGCTTGAGAGTGTAGATCGGCGCTGTTGGCGAATTGAGCAACCTTTTCGTTGGCAAACGAAAGGACTTGATCCACGTAGTCGAGGCGATCTGGGTAGATGTTCCTTAATAGCGTTAGCGAGTATCGATTGCAGGTCAATGTTGGGACTCACAGAGAGAGATTCGCTAGTGATACTAGGAGCGAGATAGTATCCTGTATAGGTAGCCGTTGCATCTTCACCAGGCTAGCCACCTGCTCGTGGAATATTTCAAACAGCCTGACACTGTCTGGTATGCCCCGAGACTTCTTCTCGTCGCTCTCTGCTGTTGTAGTATCGGCCTCAGAAGCGGGAGCAACAGCCGTTATAGACGACGCTCGTGACGCTTCTTCTCCATCTTCCGTGGGCTCTGAGATCTCCCCATTTTGTTGCTTCGGGGGTTCCGCTTCTTTCTGTTCCTTGGCTATCCGTAACCGCTCGAACAAAGCGCTCACGGCCTCTTCTTCTGTTTTGGTCCGTTGTTCAGGCGACTCCGATTCCGACTCTCGCAGCGCATATGCGGATAATCGGTCCATGAGCCCAATGACGATGTCCTTGACGTTCACGTGAGGGTTCAATCGAGCGGTGGCAGAGAGGAATTGGTCGAGGGTATGAAGGTGATATTCGTCCGGGAAAACCTGTGTTACAACTGGGCCACATTAGTACCAAAAGCCGTGAAATATACGTTTGGCCCAGAAACCTACCTTCTAGGAGGTACTCCTGTGCAAGCACATCCCTACACTGCACGACTTGCTCTAGCAATGGATTCAGGATCTTCTTGTAATTCTCCAGATCGACAAGCTGGCTCAGTCTGACGAGATTACTCCCTACAAGCAGTTGCAACTCCTGTCTCTCCTTTGTCCGTTGTTCCCGCTCCCTAGAGTGCCCTTGGTGCTGGAGCCGTACCCAAAGCTTGTTCATCTCGACAAAGTTGGTCAGGATGAAGCTGATTGAGTCCTGTAGGTTCCCCTCCGGTCCGTCGCCTGTCCCCGTAGGCAGATGGTCACGCGCTTGCCCAGCGAGATAGTATCGTAGGAAGAGACCACGAATGGGATGTTGAACGCCGCGGCTCATCTCCATCATGTCTTTCATGATCTCCTTGACTGGCGCATCCTCAATAGCCATATAGACGGTCCCGACCGTAATCATGAGATACAATCGGGGTATGATATTTCCAGCATACTGGACCAGCTCGTAAAGGTCGGCGAGGTGGTTAACAGGGTGATTATCCCGGAGATATACGGAGAGGTGGCGGAGCGCATCGAAGACGGCCATGTAGAGCTCGTAGTACTGCTTCGGGCCCAGACTGCTCGTTCGTAATTCTGAAACTAGAGTCGAGCTGCAAACGTAGCCAGTCAGCATGTTCCAGCAATGCTAATGTCTAAAGGGGTATCCCCTACCTGCATTTGAGGGCATCCATCAACTTGCCCGGTGTCTCCAGGCACCGCCGCATGAGCATAGTCTGTTGGCGCACCACGGCCAGCGCATCCTCAAGCAGGCGGGCCTGATCTTCTACCGGCGGCGGCGACGCCATTGTTGCAGTGAAAGTAGTTGAAGGGGTGGTAGCAACAAGTCAAGGTTGAGTCCTAAGATCCAAGGATGATGTTGCGCGGCGCGCAGCTGACGACCTGCCCTGGTGGTTCGCTAGAAGCTGTGGCGGTGGTGGCTGGGGAGAGGGGACCGGGACGACAACCTTGGAACGTCTTTCCGATCCCCGAACCTACATTCTTTCATCAATCACCGTAGGATTCACGATTCATTCACATGGCCCATCACGTTGATAGATACAGCGATGGAAAGGTTCTATCGGACCTATCTTGGCATTGTATAGGGCGCCTCAGCAAGGCCAGCAGTAGGTCAAGCTGAAGAAAACTAATGAAGTGACATCGACTTGATTCCATGCTTGTAGATAACTGCAACCTAGAGAAAATGGGTGGGTATCAAAGATAAGATTGCCCCTAATCCCACAGAAGGAAGTTGGCTGTCAGTTCTGAAGAACGGATTTGAGTTGATGGGTTCCAGGCGTTCCTAAGGTGTCAAGGGCTTTCAGGTCAGGAGGCGCCTGCTTGCTCGGTATCATTCCATATTTATTGTCTCTAACCTTGGGGAGTAGAACTGCCGTGAATTTCTGCAGCTTATCCCGAGATATGCGCTAACAAGTGTACGTGGTTCCTTATCTCGGTCTCCCCCTTCCTTCATACATCTCTTTCGCCCTGCTGCCTGCCAGCTTTTTTCAGACCCTTTTCATGCCGTGGTCATAGATCTACGCACAAGTGTATTCCACTGCCTGAAATGCCTCAGCATGTCTCCAAAAGTTCAAAAGAGACAGACTTTCATTGGTATGAGTAACTCGTAGACTCGCTCGACCGTCTCAGGCAGCTGCAGGGTGATGTACACAGACTGGACGCATGGGATCCGAGATGAGGCACCCCATCTCCTTGTTCGTAAAGATGGCTGTCTTGAGAGCTCAGGTCGTCGTCCCACTTCATTTGTGTATAGTCTTTGAGTGCGAGATTGTCCTCGAGGAGTATATTGACCGAAGCCATGTACAACACACACTGTGAAGCCGCAATCTTTCACTCTGTGGCGCAGCGAGTGCTTTCGCGGAAGTGCACGCCGGTTCCGGTCAATCTTTTCCCCGAAGTGTCAAAAATCCAACTTTCCAGCTTCGATCACCTTTTGACGAACAGCTCAACAACGACAACCTCTATCACAGATCTAACACCGGGAGGTGATTTGTACGGCTCATTAGTATTATTGAGGAAGTTGTGGAGAATTGGTTCTTCCATTTCACCGGGCTAGAAGGGGTCCCGCGGTGCTCCACACCTGTTCTGTCCTCTCGACTGCCAAGAGTTGCGAAATTCGTACGACCCTCGGAAACCGAATTTTCGAGCCTTTCGCCGTTTTGCAGCCTTTTCGCGCGTAGCTCAACAACCACGCGTCCTAGCACAGATCTGACAACGGGAGGTGATTTGCACGGCCAAGTAGTATTTTTAAGGAAGTTTTGGAGAACTGATACCTCCCTCTCACCGGACCAGAGGGGGTCCTGCAGTGCTCCACACCTGTTCTGTCCCCTCGGCTGCCAAGAGTTGCCAAATACGTCCGACCCTCAGAAACCGAATTTTTGAGCCTCCCGCCGCTTTACAGCCTTTTCGCATGTAGCTCAACAACCACGCGTCCTAGCACAAATCTGACACCAGGAGGTGACTCGCCAGGCTCGATAGTATTTTTGAAGATGTCTTGGAGAAGAAATTGGTCTCCCTCATTGAGTTGCAGGTGGGTGTGCGGTACTCGACACTTTTCGAGCGCCTCGTGGCTGCCAAGAGTTGCCGAACTAGGAAGTGGAAGTGGTGGTGACAGAGAGGAGGAAAATGCGACGATGACGTCCCGTGCCTCATCCCTTTATCAACACGACCGCCCACCATGGTAAGGCGAACGAAAAGGTTTATGATGGACTTTGGTAAACGGAAAGAGAGGATCGCAAATGAAGCAGCTAGAACTGTATGTCTATGCAACGCGGTGGAGAGACTTTCTGCACGTCTGCCAACTTCGTCCCAACCTCCTCCCCACCAAGCGCCTAATATCCTATCACTCACCAATAGGAGCGTCGCACCAAGTGCTAGACTAAATCTTAGCAGCAGTAGGCCTTCAAACACGAAGGACCCCGTCACGTCCACAGTCCTTCCGACCAATATAGCACTCTCCCGCTCAGCTTCAGCGAAATCGTCTCCGCCCTCAAACTCACCTGTTCCCTCCACGACTTCAATCACCATGAGTCCACCTCCATCCGATAGGCGTCTCTCCATCGGGCCGGAATGTACAGCTGAAGGCTTCGTCCCCGATCCGCCTCGAGCTGCGAAGAGACGAAAGCCAAGCAAGGCGAAATCGACCAGTTTCGCGTATGGTGGCCTCAAGTGAGACGTGCGACAGAGGTGAGAACAGTCCGTATCAGCCCGGTCAAGACTCATAACCTTGCAAAGCCTCGCTGGCAAAGCTGTACAAGTTGTCGTTGGGGAGGGTGACCACGCTCAGGCACGGACCCTTCCCAAAGCGCTTCTTTGCCACCAATCCTCATTCTTCCGAGCCAAATGCGATGCCGAATCCGTAATACTGCTTCCAGAATATGACGCCAGCGCCTTCGAACTCTTCGTCGAGTTTATTTACACGGGTAGCTTCGCTCAGCGCTCTGGTGCGTGCGCCAGCTGGGACAAGCCGGGCTTGCAAGTATTGCCAGCTGGATCAAACGGTGGGGACGACGAGGGCGTGGAACTGGTCGATAAAACTGGAGTCCATGCTTGGGTTCTTGGAGACCGCCTGGGCTCTATTGGGCTCAAGAACTACGTCATGCGCTTCCTCTTTTACCATTCAACCACGACGATTCAGGACCACAGTACATACATCGACCCCAATGCAATCATGCACGCGTACGAAAATACCAAAGATGGTTCTAAACTACGCCAGTTCTTCCTGGACGCGACGATGAGATACTGGGGGGACGGGAACATCATTAGGAAGGACCTAAAGGAATGGGAGGTCTTGCTTGACAAGGAAAAGGAGTTCCGATACCCGCTATTCATGGCACTCGCAGAGGATTCGGATTCGCGAATGGACAAGCACCTCGGGCCCATGAAGGACTATTTCGAGTACTACATGGACGAAGAGGATGCGACTCCAGCACCCACAGTCAAGACTGAAGCGGACGCCCGTTTGCAGACTGCTGCTTAAGCGTAGGCACGGAGCATCTAGCTACACGACACGATACTCAATCTTCGTAACTACAGACTCTGCGACGACGGTAACATCTCTTCTCCCGACTTTCGAAAGTTTGCAGACTTCATCGGGGATGACAGCCTTATCCTCTGCATCTGACGAAGGCAATATCATCTCTTCATGCATATAGCTTCTATTGAGGATGATACGTGGGTATTTTTTATTTCCTTCAGGCGTTTGTTTTTAAGGAAATATATCATAGGAGAAATTTCTCATCTAGTGGTTTGCTTTGTTTTCGAAAAGTCAATACAGGACATGGTTCATGGACAGATATCTCTCTTGATCTAACTTTTGGGAACGCGATACTCATTGCGGTCTCCTTACTGGTCTGATGCTCAACTTTCTGCCCAACCTCTTCATACTTGCTCTGAAGCATAAGTAGTGTCGCGTGATGATTCGAGCGCTGGCTGCTAGAGCGGCTTTTGGAGTTCTCTCTTGAAGTATATTGCCATGAGTCTAGGTGCATCTGTTGGCCACTGCTTGGGGTACCCCTATGGCTTTGTAAAATCTGAGCACGATGTAAAGGCTGATACAGTGGAAATTAGGCTTCCTTTTGACTACACAGAGACCTGCTATCTGGGGCACTCCTGACGGTGGCGTCGAGCGAGAAACAGTGGAGCTCGAGCAGCCGAATATTCGTGTACCTGTACTTGTGATGCGAAGTCGTGAAGGTCTGAGGTCATGTTCAAGACGGGAAGCCACGTCCATGCGCGTCACTTCGATCTCACATGTAGCTTCTGTCCCTTCTCATCTACCAACGCCCTCTGAAACATCAGTCAAATAAGGAAAGCCTTGGGGGGGACGCTCTCGTGGTATTCTCGGTAAGCACGTCGGAACTTCTGTCATGGCAAAATTAACGATCGAGGGGGGGTGTCGCAAGCTTCATACACGATGGGGATTGATCCGGCGGAGGTAGCATTTCAACGTGCAGGTTTACGAAAACCGCTCCTAACTCTGTAAGCTTTCTATCCTAAACTACCGATACCAATAGCGCTTCATTATAGGACTAATCGTAGCTTTAGGATGAGAGATCCCAAAGCCACTTTCGTTGAGGTTGTCGTCGGCACGGAACCAACAATCGTAACCTGGAACCTTTACGAGTCTCTGCTTTGTGCAAAGTCCGGATTCTTCCGTGGTGCTCTCCAAGGGGACTTCAAGGAAGCCCAAGAAAAGAGATCTCCTTGCCCGAAGAAGACCTAGTAGTATTCGAGCTGTTCGTACAGTGACTCTTCACCGGAAGATATGTCTTCGATGGAGCGAGCGGATTGACGACCTGATCAGAGATGAGGAAGGCGATGAACTCGAATTCTCTGCCAGACAGGTCCGCAAGAGCGCCGAAGCTTGGATCATGGGGAACAGACTTCTCATAGACGTGGGATTCAAGAATTACGCCATGAACTACCTATATCATTCACTGGTACCATACGAGAGCTGCCCATGGCGCAGCCCCGTGAAGAATCTCGACCCCGAAACGGTTTTGTATGTCGTTGACAATGCGCTGGAAAATTCGAAGATACGAAAGTTCTTCACCGATTTACTCACAGCTCACTGGGGAAACGAGGCGTAGATCATCAACCCAAGATCGAAACTCGGACCTGTAGCTGCTTGGGACCGATTCTTCCAATGCAACGAGATCACGGAGCCGCTGCTGAAGATCGTCAGTATCCACCCTTCCACCCGTCGCGTATTCCTGCGCCATACGGAGCATTACTTCGAGACGAAATGATCAGATCTGGTGAGGGTACCATGCTACAAAGCAACAGGTCTAACCGGCTCTCCATTATTTATGAATTGATCATCCATTCTCATCCTGGGATGTTTCGGGAAATGGTGGATCACATGCTCAATGAGCCTCAGCATAGTTAATCTCAATAGAATCTGAGATGATGGACAGCTAGTCTTTGCTCTTACGGAACAAGTGTAATGATGGCTATGTTTTGTGAGCGTGTGTGGATTGACTACTTCAGAGCATCTTTAGAATCTCGCTCTTAGTAGGACAAGAGCACATCATAAGCTATTAATGCATGTGTTCTTTGACGCCGCGGGCGTGGTAGTTGTCCTCGCGGAGCTTCACAGGTTCCCTCGAACACAAAGTGACAGTCCAACACTATCTCGGATGGCTCGAAGAGCTATTAGGCGAGCCAAAACTGTCTTTTTACACTTTTCAGTTATGGTCTAGGCAATATGAGAATTTAGGAAGTGAGAACATCGACTGAACAAAATCTGATGTCGTCAGTCCGAAACGGGAAGTCGGTCCGTGCGTCTTGACGACTTCACCTCACTTTCTTGACTCCGTCTTCTCTTCTCATCCTCTCACCACAGAAGGCTTCGAGCGCTGGGCCGACAAGTATACCGCCGTAATGAAGATTCACGGCGTGAAGCTCGAGTGGGCGTTCCAGAAAGGGGGCAGCAGTCTCACGGAGCAATTCTTGCAACTGTAGGTAGTCCACCCATGAATTGAGGAAAAATACAGATTCTTTCAAAGACAGTTCGCTCTACAACTACTATTGTATGGCTAATCAGTTTCCAGTCTGACCGATCCTAATGCCGTACTTGTCCCCGTCACTGTAGGCACCGAGCCAAACACGCGCACGTGGAGCCTCTACGAATCTTTGCTTTGCCAGAATTCAGCCTTCTTCCGCAAAGAACTTCAGGGGAGTTTCAAAGAGGGCAAGGAAAAGAAACTCACTCTACCTGATGACGAGCCTGAAGTGTTCGAATTGTTTGTGCAATGGCTCCTCACAGGTGGCTACCTTCGCGACAACGAGATCCGTACTCGAGAGAGCCTTGAGCGATACCTTACGAGCGACAATGGCAACGGAACTGAGGGTCCAACCGAGTTGATGGTCCAGAAGAGCAGCAAAGCGTGGATCCTAGGGGATAAACTTCAATGCGAGGTTGGGTTCAAGAATTATGCCATGAATCACATCTACCATTCCCTAGTTCCCTACGGCCTTGATACGTATCGTTCCGGGCATGAGAAGCCTCTTGTGCGTCTCAATCCTACTATGGTCCTTGGAGTCTTCCAGAATACCCTGGAGGGATGTAGCCTCCGACAGTTCTTCCACGATTTCCTTATTCACTACTGGCAAGACAAAACGCTCATATCGTGGGATGGAGATCAAGACGGCTGGAAGAACCTCTTCGAGTGCGCGGAAGTGAGGAACATCTTTCTACAGGGTGCGAACAAGTTCGAGTCATTCAAAGGAACTCTCAAAAAGACCGAACACTACTTCGAGTCGTCGCTCAAGCGCAAAGGCTGCTTCTCATCCGCGGAGACCTGACCTACACTATCTTCCATGGCACACCCGAGACCGCATTTCTAAGGTCTTGTGATGGACAAACAACATACACGGAGTCCATACGGCTCTTCTGGTCAGGATCGGAGAATAATGGTTGGCGTGCGGAGATGTTCACCCCTGTTTGGCTGAAGAATTAGCATCGAGACTGCTCTGAGACTCTCTATGAGACATACAAGTTCGTTGAAACTCGCTTAGTGTCTTCCAATTCGTATGAAGTGATGGTTCTACCCTGCTACCCAGTATTGTGAGGACAAGTTGAATTATGACAGCATGCCTGAAGGATACTCGGATGAAATTATAGGCTTGATTGCAAAGATAGTCCCAATCAATCTCAAATGTTTAGTTTACATACATACTAACATAGTAGTACTACTCAAGCTTAGTCGAACCGATATACCAACCGCCCCGTAACTTCTCCCTTCGCCATCGACTGGAAACCCTCGTACAGCTGCCCTATCTTCTTGATCTGGATCATGCGTTAGTCTCATCAGGCTCCAGTCCTCAATCTCCATCTGAACGCCTACCTGAATCGTCGGCTTGATCCCATACTCTGCCGCCATCTTCAACGACTCATCAAGATCCTGCTTCGAGCCTTGGCAAATAGCTGATCTTGATTAGCACTCAATCTCAACACTCCGACTCACACGTCTGGTACTTACGAACGATCGAAACCTCCCGGAGGATCAGGTCCAGCACTAGAATCACATATCGTCAGTCTAGCCTCCGCATATCACTTAAAACATAACTGACCATTGAACGTTAACGGCGCATGCGGCACGCCGACAGCTATTATCCTCCCGTGATTCTTAGTCGTTTTCACGGCAAGCGCATATGCTGGCGCTGCACCACTAATGACGATAGTGGTCTGCGTTTTTACGATGTCTTCGTCCTTGAGGGTCAGGGTGTTGACGCCTTTTGTTGCGCCGTATTTTTTGGCGAGTTCGAGCTTGTCTTCTGCGATATCAACTGTCGGGAGAGGTATGAGTGGTGGTTGATTATGGGAAAGGCGAACGGGCTTAACTTACAGGCTGTGACACGATATCCGAAAGCCTTTGCATACGCAACTGCTAAATGACCTGCATAAACCTTTAGCACATTCTAGCGGAGACATTTGTGCGTGTGAGGACTTACCAACTCCGCCTACACCAATGATGTTTAGCGGCGTACCGCCCGGTTGCTCTTTAGCTACCACTTTGAGAGCGTTATATGCTGTGACACCAGCGCATAGCAACGGCGCGGCTCTGTGAGTCAACACCGTCAGTTCAACAGCTCAGGCAAGGAATGTTCAACACAAGTTTGCTTACTCCTCGTCAGTCAGCCCTTCCGGTATCTTGACAGTTGATAGCGGCGCAGCGATCGCGTATTCAGAGAAGCCACCATGCAGCTCCGTCATCCCTCCAACTTTCTTCTCGCAGAATCTCGATTGGCCGCTTAGACATTCTTCGCAGTCCTCTGAAACGCCGCGTCAGCGGCCACACAGCAAGAAAACGGCTAGTTCGACATCGGCAACTTACCACACATCCCCTTGAACGGCATGAAGCCTACTCGGTCGCCTTTGGCAAACCCGACCACGCCAGCACCAGCTTCGACGACGATACCGACAGCTACTCTCGATCAGTCAGGCGCTTTGCAGAAACAGGGAGGGTCCATACGTTCATGGCCTAAGCACACGGGAGCCCTTTCCCCAAGGTGCCCCGCATACGCTGCCATATCACTCATACATAGTGACGAAGCCGACAACTTGACGAGAAGGTCATTGGGACCAGGGGTAGGTATAGGAACATCCTGCTCTTCGATTGGGCCATTATGCTAGAACCGTATTAGCATTTATTCGACCTAACTGCAAGCTCCTATACCTTGACGACGATCTGGGACTTCATAGTCTTAGCGCTCCCATTTTGGGTAACGGTGGCTGTTGACGACATGGCTACTCAGGGACGAATGACGCGCAGCGTGGGGTATTACTTTTCCTTTTTCAAAGTTTCTACAAAGCCGACGCTATCGATAAACGAACCCAAGAGCAAATGATTGCTGCGCAGTGCCTGTGCTAAGGTACATTTATGGTGCGGGGCATTATATTCCGGGAATGCGGGTTTGCGGGGAAAAGAAGGGCGGAGGCCAAGTGAGAGTGCGGGGGAAATACACTAAAGCACAGTAATTGGGTGAGAAGGAAAAGTCTCACTTCTTGTTGCTGTTTGACAATTTCCGAATGCCGTGTAGTGGTATAGTTTCCGTGCGGCGCATTTCCTTTTATTCGTTGGTTTATGCTTATTTTGACGCCGTATTGCGCATCCTTGATCCACATTTCGACTCCCAACTTCAGTTTTTCAAGATGGCGACAAAACTAGTAAAAAGAGAGAACTTGCCGACTAAGTTATGGGTCGACAATGAGGTAAGAAGCGCAAGCGAATGAATCTTCGATTGGTGAGGATTATGGGACTAAAGAAGAGGACAGTTCAAAGAAGGGACTGGAGCTACAGTCAAGCTCGTAAATCCAAAGGATGCAAGCACCATTGCGGAATTTAAAGGAGCTTCCGAAGCGGACGTCGACAATACCGTATCAATTTCCCAGAAGGCCTTCGAATCGGGACCCTGGGCATCGCTGAGCGGTGAAGAGAAAGGAGTTATTCTGAATAAGTTTGCTCAACTCATACTTGACAACGCGTCAGAAATTGCCTATTTTGAAAGCGTCTGTTCCGGAAGACCTCTCGCACAATGCAACTACGAGATACCTAGGGTTGCATCAGTCTACAGATGTATGCAACTTTTCAAGTTCCCGTGAGTGAGGTTCAGTTGTTGACCAGATTTACAGATTATGCCGGCTGGGCGGACAAAATTAGGGGAGACTCGTATCCACCTGAAGACGGGTTCTACAAGATCGTTAGACAAGAGCCATTGGGTGTATGTGCCGGAATCACGGCGTGGAACGGATCCCTCCACTTCTTGGCTTGGAAAAGTGCGCCAGCACTAGCATGCGGTAATACGGTCATCATCAAGCCATCAGAGAAGTCTCCCTTGGGCACTCTCGCTGTAGCATCTCTAATCAAGGAAGCCGGTTTCCCGCCTGGAGTTTTCCAGGTTCTCCCAGGTAAGCAAATACTCGCGATCCGTTGAATGACAGACAACGCTAACACATACGCTAGGAGGAGGAGATGTAGGAGCCATCCTGAGCAGCCATATGAAAATTGCCAAGATATCTTTTACTGGATCCACTTTCACGGGAAGAAAGATACAGGATGCTGCAACAAAGAGCAACTTGAAGCGGGTGACTTTGGAGCTAGGAGGGAAGTCGCCGGTAAGACTAATTCGACCGAATGGCCGAAACCTCGTTGACTAGAATAAAGGCACTCGTCTTCGATGACGCAAGTTTGGAGAAGGCGGTGTTTTGGTGTACAATTGGGATCGCCACAAATGCAGGCCAGGTTTGTGCGGCTACCACTAGGCTATTCGTCCAAGAAGGAATTGCCGACAAGTTTTTGGCGGCACTGAAAGGAAGCTTCGAAGCGATTACAAAGACTCTCGGATCTGATCCTCAGGAAATGACCACTACATATGGTCCTCTAGTAGACAAGATCCAGTATGATAAAGTGCGAGGTTTCATCGAGGAGGGAAAGAAGTCGACAGAAGTCATCATCGGAGGAGAAGAGTACACGAAAGGTGGATACTTCATAGGCCCTGTGATCTTCAAGAACCCATCCGAGGAGGCGAAGATCTACCGAGAAGAGATATTTGGTCCGGTTCTGTGTGTTCGTACTTTCAAGACCGAGGAGGAGGCCATCCAGCTTGCCAATGACACCGACTATGGTCTTGCAGGCAAGTCTACCTAGGAGAAAAACTGTCTTTGTCGAACGGCAGCTAACTTCACGTATAGGAGCGATATACACTCAAGACGTGAACAGAGCCTTACGAGTAGCTAGCAAAGTTCGAGGCGGAACAATTGGCATCAACTGCACGTCCGTGGTAGGGCCCCAGGTTCCGATGGGCGGATTCGGCTCTAGCGGATACGGCCGGGAACTGGGTGAGTATGCTATCCGGCACTACACGGAAACGAAAGCAATCTGGATCAAGTGAGTGGAAATTGATCTACACCCATGAAAGAACACGAGCTGATGCATTCCAGCATGAACTGAATTGATTGGGGGGAAAGCGAGATGGACGGTGGCCACCTCGTGAGGTTGTGGCGAGGTTGATGAGAAACGGCAAGCACGACTAAGAAAGCGGTAACATCGACTACTGGCCATCCTGAGTTACAGGGTGGAAAGGAGCGAAGAAACAAACTCGACTTGGCGTTCATGAGAACACGTAGGAATCTGGAAGTATTGGATTGCTAATGTTGCCGTGGTGTTTACGAGCCCCTAGACTAGAAGAGGCACTATCGCCGCTACTCGATCCTGGACTGCAGGCAGCAGTATCACCTTCAAGGTTGGGGCTGCTTCAAAAATGTGAACAGTTGATGGCAGGCAAGATGAGGCTATTCGGAAGTTTACCCTGCCTAACCGGCCCGAAATGTGCCGAAACGCTAGTCTGACCTCAGAATAACGCCGGATGATGCCGCGCCTGACAGTCACCCCTTTCCTGCACATCGTTTTCCTGAAGCCACCACCCCCACGTAACCCGCGAAGTTATCGACTACACGCCTATAGATAATATTCGCACCAAGATTATCAACTTCGGTTGCGATGCGAGCCAACAATGATATGTCACGGGCGTTAAGAATAGCTTCCGAGTCATACATTATGCATTAAAGCACTCGTCATCCTCCGTCTCCTGTATATATGTTTCTAGCTCCCCCAAATCTCAAATCTTCAGACACTTCTGCGATTCTATGTTTGTCGTTCACGTTTCAAAGGATATTGTAGGTCTTGTTGGCAGACAGCCTAGACCCCTGATGAACCGCCCATTGTTCCGCAGTCCGCCATTCGATCTACAGAGCATGTTGTCGTGAAACAAAGCAATGACACTCCCCTATATCTATTCCTTCTTCCGTTACTGGCGCTACAGTATCAAGCCTTCATCCCCGTAGGACCAGGATACCCTTTTCGCAATGGCCATAGGGAGGGCCATTTAGCTCGGAGACGGTCCCAATGCTCGTTGCCACAAGAGGATCATCGGCCGGTCGGGTGGCCTAGCAGGTGCGCAAACTTGCAGGTTGGAGAACCGCTGTGGTGGTACTGAGATCCCGTGTCTCAAGTTCTAGAATAGTAAGCGCTTCTTGTCAGTGTTGCATAGGGGGACTGACAGCCTAAGGCCAGAGCTAACCATGATGAACAGATGTCACTTGTTTTGAGGTCACTCCTTAGCCACTCGGAGGACTGAAGCACTCGCTGCAAGAAGATGATTGCTCGACTTCACTTCCGGGGCCTTCTGCGGGTCCGCGCGGTGTGACTATCACAGCACATGCAGACAACATAGAATCTGCTCGTATGGCCTGAGAGGGGCGTATGTGTCCCAACGCGTCAAGTCTAGAGCAAGCAAGCCTGATATCGAGCTGCATGCGTATCAATGTAGTCAGCCTATAGCCTATAGATCCTCCGATATTGGCTTGCTACGCTCTTGGTCGAGCAGTCTCACATGCTCTGTGCGCACCTGGTACGGCGCAGCACAAACATGCCGTTCCTTATCGCCACGACGAATCGTCCACTGATGAGATCTTCGAGTATGCTACCGTTGCAAATGCAGGTATCGAGCTTACGAAGAGCGTCAAACTGACTTCCTGCAATCCTCAGAGTGTGTAGGGCGCTTGCTGGTATGTTCTTCTTTGCTCAGTTTCGAGATTTGGCATCAACCTGGGCGAAAATAGTCCGGGTATCGCGCAAAGGCCACCCGTTGAAGGATCCGCACCCGTTGAAAGATGTGCAGACTTTCCCCAGGTTCCAAAGGATCCTCAAATCTCCTCATGCCAAGGGGCACACCGCAAAATTCTACAGGGTGGCAGAAACGTCTCCTGTTTGCGTTTGCTTACACTTCCGGCGCGACTAGAGCATCTCTGGCGTGTTCTCTGGTGTGTTTGCCGGAGAAGATGCTCGATGCAGCGTGAACGTCATGGTGGAGCTGAAATGAATGGGCACAGGCCTCTGATCGAGCAGATATGTCAAGCCTCTTCGAGATAGTGCGCCGGGCGCTATGACTGACTCACAACGGGTCCCGTCAGACAGCACGTGGCGCGAAAGGTCGATTTCTGCGATCCCTGAACTTGCAGCTGCAGTCTTGATTGAACAAACATGCTCGTCGCCGATCGTGCGCTCGAAGCCAGGCTCGCAATTGGGTCTTCGGCCCAAAGGAATTGAAATTAAAGGGCAACGCCACGGCTTGATGTCCAGTCCGCGGCGGATGAGACCGCTGTACCTGCACCCCGCGAAACGTTCTGGCCGGATACGGCTGAAGCTCAACCCGTGGGGAACCCGGGCCACCTTGGCGTGCGTGCTGTGGGGAAGGGGCCTAGTGGAACTCTGGTGATCGCCCGCTGCCAGCGGCCAGCCACTCACTGCCCGTTACCTCCGGAATCTCCAACATCCATGCCGGCTGCATAAAGTGACGCCTCCCTCTGCGTCTCCATATAGCTTCCTCAACCTTACCTGACTCTATATAGACGAAAGACAGATCTAATCTCTCCTCTCTCACGATGGATCCGCCTACCACGCCAGCCACGAGGGCCCGGAAAAGAAAGACTGCTTCCGAAAAGCCTAGCGACACGCGCGCAGACCGTAAACGAGTGCAAAATCGGATATCTCAACAATGCCTGCGAGAAAAGCAGCTAGCCCACACTAGGCAGCTGGAGTCATTCCTGGAGATCATTAAGTCTAGCAACGACGAATCGAAAAACAACGAGGACCGCTACTCAACGCTCTTGGACGCCCACCTGAAGCTGATAGAAGAGAAACGCCAATTGGAAGACGCCCTATTTCGCCTACGGAAGCGGTTGCTTAGCCTGAGCAATATCGCTTCCACAGCAGCTGGTAGTTCATATCTACCACGTGACCCTCCCCTTTTACTAAGTGTATGCAGATGACGAAATCTTCAACCAACTACTCGACAAGGATGGCCGACGTCGCCGGAACGGGGTTTCAGAAGCTCCAATGGAAGCGCTCTCGCATAGCAACAAATCAAGTCCCCAGCGTCAAGCTCACACTCCACCACAAGAACCAGCCCCGCAAAACTTCAACCATATGCATTCCCATTCGCCTGGGGACGAAGGTCATCTAGGAATGGCTTCATCAGCAATGCCATCTCTGCAAACGGCTCCTATGCAGCAGCATCAGCCTTCACACGACAATGTTCTTACTCCCGTAAGCCACTATTCCGGACAGCTGCAACACAGCCTTGTCTCCGACGAGGGCGTTATGGCGCAATCAATGGGTGGCGTTGACCCAGAACTCATGTCAGCTCCAAACATGCACTTTGATCCCGCCTTGGAGAACTCGCCTCCGCCATACATGATCTATGATCATCTAACAGCACCTATCCATGCCATGTCTTTTGGTGCCGTCAAGACGATAGCCATTACATCTGCCGCAATCTTCTCAGACAAACTCGCCAACGCTTGTCAGAAGTACTTGAACCAAGTCCTTGGTCCACGTCCAATCGTGGAAATGGAGTCCGAAGAAAATGAAGGTGATGCACTCACACCCGAGTCCATGAATGTTCGAGTCGTCAGACAACTATCAGCAACTGCAATAGTATGTTTTCCGATAGTCAAAGACATGTATCTAGGGCTTATTTGCTAATGTTTTGATAGTATCTTTTTGGCGCTTTCTCTGGGATGGAAGCTTACATATATGGCGTTGTAAGTCAAGTGTTACTAGTCTATCGTTTGTGTTAGAAACTAACACTGTGACCAGGATGCAGCACCATACATGGATCGTGTGCTACGTTGGAGATTGTCGAACACAGTCGTCAATAGAATGGCCGTCCCCGAACCATTCAGACCAACTCCGCTTCAATACAGCTCACCAGAACACCCACTCTACATCGATTTCATCAACTGGCCCTCGATACGTGACCAGCTTATCATACATGGCCACGCGATTGATCATGATGAAGTCATCAAGGATATCGTTCTGAACACTGTTGTTGAGATTGAACACCGCAAGATTGCCATCAACATATACGATATTTTCCACAACCGCATTCTCTCTACCAGCAGCCGGACGTCTGGTTCGCGGTCAAAGTCTGCCATCGTTTCCCCCGACTGGAAGTTTGTAGAGGTTCCCCAAGTGGACAGCTCTTTCGAGACCACTACCGATCCAGTAGAAGACGCCTTGGTTCAAGAACTATCCTGGCGTATGCAATTCGGATTAAACGGATCGTCGCAAACTCCCGACGGAATTGATAGATTTGCCGGACCATCAGATCCAGACGGCCCCTTCGAGCCATTCCCGTGGACGAACCCGAACTTCCGCAAGAATGAAATAGCAACGTATTTTGGGATTGATCGACTAAACCATTGGAAGCTGAGCCCAGCCTTCGCGCGGAAGTATCCAGTCTTTGACTGTACTGCTGGTGAGTGGTCTTTCTGCAGGGCTATATGATTCAGAAAAGCTAACAAGTTGCAGTTGTCTCTCAATACGAAATGATTTCTTGTGCAGCCGCAACAGTATTCTAGCCTATCTGCACCTCAATGCACAAAAGCCAATCTTTCTTACTAGCGTTTAGCGACTAACAGATTTCTCATTTTTATTGTAGCAGATTTCTTAGCATAGTCTCTCGTAATCCTTTAATGATACCATCTCATGAGTTCATATCGGGGGTGTAAATTGGCGTGGGGTTCTTGCGGTTTGGGTTAGAAGCTCCGACGTACATTCAACATACGTCTAGATACGTAAGATCAACACAAGCCTTCTCCCATGTACTTTTTAGACTCCAGGATGAACCTGGGGGCCATTCGCCTCATCTCCATTGCTTCGTCGGAGTACTCATCGGCCATCTCTCTAATCTCCAGGCTTCTCAAAGCCCACTCAGCCCCCTCTTTCCACCGCCCAGATCGACCGTGCATTATAGCGGCAAGCTTATAGACCTGGGCATAGTAATCCACAAGCTCCTCCTCCTCTACCATTTCCACAAGTCTCAAACTATCCTCGAGAAGCCCCTGCTTTTTCCTTTCTGCCATCAGCCCCTCGCCCGGAGGGACCAGTGCCTCCGCCTCTAGCTGATCCATCATGATCTGCATTTCCGCCCTTACATCATCGCTTTCCGAATCCCCACCTCTGCTCGCCTCACATGCCTTGCACTCGCACCTGAATCCGTACTGTATTAGCCGCTTCTCCCGCTCTTTTGTCGTCTTTAGCAGCGGGATATAAGAGATTGAAATTTCCTCCCCTTCCTCAATGTTGCGCCCCGCATACACGACTCTCCGCCCTAACCCCTCGCTCCAGAAGTACGCCGCATTGGGTCGACACGAGTGATTGATCCTCGCCACAATCGGAAACAAACCCAGCCCCGTGCCAGTATTGAATGCATTAGAGCGCAAGATCGGCATCAGCGTCTCCTTGCCCTCCTCACTAGGAAACATATGCGCGTGAAGTGCGAGATACCGTTTCTGGTTCAACGGGGATAGCTTTGCAAACTCGGCGCGGAGCGAATCAAGCATTTTGGAGATCTCGTACCCCTGGCCGGGTGTGAGGGGTGGTGGCTGGATGATCACGAGGGGCGCTTCGAGGATAATCGTGGTTCCCCGCGCGATGCGCCTTGTGGCGAACAGGCCATAGCCTTTCTTGGGCGTAGGGAGCATGGTATAGATTTCGGGGGGCCCGGAACATGTGCCTGAGGGGCTTTCCGAATATAGATGCGGCCATGCTTCAGCGAGGGATGGGATAGTGCACGCGGTGATCGATGCCGCGAGGCAAAGCGCAATGAGAACAGACGGAACGCGGAAACGAAGGATCATATTGAGATCTGTGGATTTTGAGTGGGAAATGTCCGATTTCATGGTCTATGAAGGATATTGGGTTGAGAACAGGATGAAACGAAGGGAGGTTTCATGCATATCACGTGATCATCCACAACCCCTTGGAATAGTCGCGCGCCAGAAGTGATGACACGGTTTCAAGTAGTGCTTATTTCCTAAACTTGAGCGGCCGCGACAACTCTTCAAGATTCCAATCAAAAAGTTACTGATGATGAGACGCGGCAGATTGAAGATTGACGCTATCCACCTAGTTATAACGTTAGTTAACGTAATCCACAAGTTAGTGGCCCGCACAAGCTAGTGGCCCACCCAACCACGCTACCGAGGCCAAATATTCCGAATTACTCCAC